ATGTGCGCGTATATGGTGCAGCTTGAGTCTCGCGACTGACAGAAGTCATGAGCATTTCAAGTGGAATTTAATTAGAGTGTGATAAACGATTTTGTGAATTGTTTCTTAATTCAGTTGGATAATAAGTGTAAGCCAAATGCCGATAAAAAACTGTGCACGCAGATGGCATGAATAAAATAACTGGGTTACATTTCTTTTGTTTTCGTTAACGCTGTGTTCGCATTGCGTACACATGCACACAAACATTACATTTACATAATACCTTTTTTTGATTTACTCAATCGTTCGTTTATTAAATTACCTCGTCATTGCTGGAGACATTGATCTACATTGTAGCCAAAAGTTGAAAAGGGAATTCCTTGTGCACGGCTTTTCATTTTTCTTCTTTTATTTTCTCGCTCGTTTTTTTTTTTTCGTTTTCGACTTTCTTTTATTCGTATGTTTGCTGTTTGTCGTGCTTTGTGTATTTGGCCGCGTATGTGTATGTGTGTATTAAATTTTGAATTGATATACAACGGCTTGTGCGTTAATATCAAAACAAATACCTTCATAGAGAATGGATGAGAAGTAAAGGCCAAAGATCTAGAACTAATGTGAAATTTATATTAATAATTGACAATATCACCCAAACGGAGATATATCGTATGCTGAGGGTGGATTATATTTCAAACAGGCAAACACCATATTTTATACATTTAAACGTATACATATTAAAACAATAAAGGAAAGCTCCACTTATTTACATTCAAACAATAAATTTTGTCGGACGACGATGAAGGGAATACCTAAATCAACAAATCAAATCGCAAATAAATGATTTGATTTGAAAATTTGCAAATAAAAAAGTCAAATAATTTGATTTGAAGTGTCATATATTTCAAATCAAATGATTTGAATATTTTAATTTGAGAAAATTCAAATAAAATCAATTTATTTGATTTTTATATTGATTTGAATTCTCAAATTTCTCAAATCAAATCAAATATGTGTTTATTATTTTACTAAAAATGTTTTTAAAAAGTTATTAAAAATATGAACGAGAATGAAAGTGAAAAAGTTGGAATGGGCAATTGAGTTCGCATTTTCGTTGCGGGTCTCATACGTTGTGTCTCAACAAATTTTATAGTCTAACATTTTTAAATACACTTTTGAGTAAAATGAGAGCCTTTAAGAACGTTTCAATCGAGATGCACTCACAAATCGAACATACCACAGTCTAACAAAAATATTTTTTTTAAACGTTTTTAGTAAAATAATCGACACATATATGATTTGATTTGAGAAATTTGAGAATTCCAATCAATACAAAAATCAAATCAATTGATTTGATTTAAATTTTCTCAAATTAAACAGTTCAAATCATTTGATTTGAAACATATGACACTTCAAATCAAATTATTTATCATTTTTTATTTAGAAATTTTCAAATCAAATCAATTTATTTGATTTGTGATTTTGATTTAAAATCCAATTTTGAGAATCCTGAATGGTCTCAAATTTCTCAAGTGGACTGCATACGCATGGAAAATACCATTTTATGAACCACTTATGATGAGCAAAAACGTGGCAGAGGCGAAGAGAACGATTTGATTCAGCAAGTAAAAAAAAATATGTTGCAAAGAATAAATGTGTGTGATTTAAACAACAACATGGTAATGCGAGTGTCGAACGAGATGAAAAAAAAGAGTATATGGTAAAATAAGTAACATTTTGGTACTGAAGATGGATAAAAATGTACACAAATCAAATTCACCAAAAAGAAAGCGGCCTATGCCATGTTTACGTACACAATCATTACAATAATTCTTGTTTTTATGTTTTATGATTCATGTCATACCTACAACCCACTAAATACTGGACACGCATTTCTCAACATAATGCGCTGGTTATGCGTATTTATTCGTCGTGTTCGTACATTTATTACAATTTATTTGAGCAAAAAAAAAAATGAACGAAAGAAAAACAAGCAAAAAAAAGTGAAAGTAACACGCACCCGAAAAACAAAAAGTGGGAGTAAAAGATCCTGGCTGGTGAAATCGAGAAAATTCCGCTCTTTTCGTAGTGTGTCTATGTGCAGAGAGGAAAAAAATCGGTTTTGAATTTGAAATGAAATCGAAATTGCCCAAAAAAACGCACATGAAAGCGTCCATACATTTTGTGGTATTATAAATGCACGCAATCGGGTATGTGCGTAGAGCGAAATTCATATTTTACCAAATACACAGATTCTGAATAAGACTCGTATATGCTTACCCAAAATAAACGCTACTTTTAATAACAATCATCATCGTCGTTGTCGTTGTCGTCATCGTCATCATCGTCATTCGTTATCATCACGATCATATTTTTTTTTTTCATTTTCATTTTTATGGTAATTAGGAATTTTTGGAAATATGTGTGAATGTGTGTTTGGTTTTTGTCAGCGAACACACCACTGAAATGAAAAAGTGTCCCTGTGTTTTTGATATTTCGTGGTGTGCTGCTGAAAGAGATGCACGACCATGAACAGAACGAAAAAAAGACTACTACGTCAACAGAAGTTTTAATTGTAATGTCTGACAAGAAGGGCAAGAAAGTATGCTCAGGTCTCACGTACGATGAACGAAAAAAAAAAATAGTCCACTTCATGCGATATTAAAAGCACTATAGTGACTATATAAATTCATCTGTTCTTTTTTCGATATTAGCCGCTTGCACTGAAAAATCTTAATGGCTTTGCGTATTTTTCATTGTTCGTTTTTATTCTTTTGTTTGTTTGTGTATAGCGCGAATGTATGCTAGTTTTCAGCCACATTGTGACTTTTTTATGAACATCAAGCGTAAGCCCAGTGTAAAATGACGAGAACTCAAGCACACGTTTTAATTTGGTTATTTGCGTCATAAATGCCATTATATATTATAACCAATGAAGTTATCCAGCTATAGACGTATACATTCAGAAAATTTCGGATTGGATACGATGAATGGCACGTATTATTGTTACAAAAAAAAAACGCGGCCATTCGCATTTCCCCGATACCAAATTTATGTCCTTTTTTTGAATTTCTATCAATGGAATGTCGCGCGTAAAATTGATGAAGGAATGACACCATGACCGGATTTAATCGAGGTTAACCCTCAAAATTCTATAATCGACCACTTTGCCAAAACAAATTGTGCATAACGTTCCCTACTAACATGGTAGCTATTATAAAATTTGTATCAAATCGACACACTGTGTCAATGTTGCAGGCACTGATAAATATTTTATGATAATTGTATTGAATAGAAATGGCTCATTTCTTCGTTACGCTTTCCATCATTTACTTCACATTGGGAGTAATTGTGTGATTAAAACATTCGCTTTGCGTGTCATTATCCGTCGATTAGCCACATTTTTCTTTAAACTGTCAAATTGTATTCAATGCATCTCTAGCCATTAATAATGTTTACGCGTTAATTGACTCAATTTTTTGTTCCGATGATGCTTTTTAATTCAAATTACATGCTTAACCGATGGTTCTCGGGTAACTTGTGTTTGGTACACTGTTTGCATTTAAATTCTATGAATCTTTGCACAACGCTTTACGAATCGATTTTTTTTTATTAAAATACAAGAACGACGTTTAGCAATAAGCGAATAAGTACTGGAAACATAAACTCTCATGCTCATTCTCCCCATACCCCCTATCTCTCGGTCCGTCTAACTCGACTGTCAACATACAAGGTACAGATGGCCATAAAATCCGTGCGTTTCATGCTTGTTTGCTATTTTCTGCTGTGATTTTATATACATTATTACGCATTATTATGTACTCAACACTTGTCATACATCTCAAGTTACACGGAGTATACCGTAATTGGTCTAGCACCCTCATTTCATTTTGCTTCTGTTTTTCTTTTTTACTTCGTTGTTGCGCTGCTCCCACTGCTCACTGTCGATCTCTGATTGCTGTAAGGTGTCGTCTTCGACCAGAGTTTTGTTGATTTTCAAATTTGACTTATTCTAGTTTGTTGAAGAAAGTGGCAATTATTCTGAATTGGTTTTTTTCCCTTTCTTCATGTCTAATTTCTGGGCGTCACTGTTCAATACATATTTTCGTGTTGCTTTTGGTGTCATGTTTCGAAAGCGGCTCCAGTGAAGTGAAACAAAATAAAATAAAATTGACGCGCTTCTTTCGAAAATTAAGTATAACCATATTCCCAGTTCGATTGCAATATGAACAGCGTGAAAGCACAGCGCGAATAAGGACCGTCATCAAGCATGAAAAAGTGAAACGAGAATTTAATACAATTACATCGATGATAATGGCATTAAAAATAAAATGACAGTAATCGTGTCTACTTAACCATATTGTTATTTGTTGCTGGAATGTATAATAATATATTATTATAACTTTTTATTGCTTTAGTTATCGTGTTTGATGGTGTAAAATCCATCCACAAAATGATACCGTCTCTACGTTCTGTTTTGATGTCGGCTGCTCTTCTTGTCTTATGAAACTTTAAAGAATGTCAAATCGCATGTAAAATTTGTTCAAGGCTCTTCAAATCCTTGCCTTATATATGCGTTTACCATTGTATTTTATATATAGATAAGCATCAATTCATGCGTCTTCATTTGAATTTATATATTTGCATCTGTATGCGTTCACATCTTTGTATTTTTATGTTTGTTTGTCTGTTTGCTTTGTTTGCTTGCTTGCCTACCTGATACCGTTCAGGTTGGATAAATATACATTTCATAATAGTTGATGTGTGTTATTCCTGTGAATATTGATGTTGGGTGGAATTGGGGGTACGGTGTCGACTTTCATGTATACTTATATTTTTGTTGATTGCATTTGTTGTTATCATCGTGTCTTGATTTATTGAATCAATGATCTAAATGTCATTTAAATTGTTGTCTCTTTCTCTCTCTGTGTGTGAGTGCTATATGTTGTCGTTGCTACTACTGTTTGTTGTTGTTGCTGCTGTTGTTGTTGGTTTTGTGTCGTTGAAGAAAAACCCAAGCAATGAAAAATGAAACACAATAAATCATTCGCCCTACGAGATTGCCTTAAGCAAAATCAAAAGTATGCATCAAAAGTGGAAACCCTTTTAATTGTTTCACCACTGTCAATATATGGCTTATTTACATGCATACATAAGTTAAAAAAAAAGATAAAAAAGGGAGAAATGAAATATTAAAATATATATATCAAAGAACAGCATTAAGAATTTAAGCAATCAGGTGAATGGGATGGTTGAGGATACGCGTACAATATAGTGCAATACGTGTGGTTTTGTCTTTGATCTTAATTTTGTTGAAAGGGCACATCAAATAAAAAAGAAATCAAATGATGAAAGAAGGCAGCCTAACTCTATGTCTCAACACCGTTATTACTTCTAAATCGCAAATTAAAGAGAAAAAATTGCTCTTCTTTATATTTTCATTAAATCGCGCCCGTTCTGTTCTTACTTCCGGAATGGATTAGATAGACACAAGATAGGTACCCAAGCGATACATAGATAATAAGCATACAATGATGGAATATAACATAGAGCGTAAATAAAACACGGTTCACCGAGTCTTAAGAAAAGACATTACCAACTTGCACATACACACAAACACGACACCGCCAACAAAATCAGTGGCAGCTAAACCATTTGATAATCACCATCATTTAACGATGACTAAAAATATTCATGATAAAGCGGACAATGAACAAGGTAAGCCATTCAAATTTTGTTAACTTTATGTTATTGATAGTCGACCCTTTTTGGGTTTGATTCAGACAGTTCTGAATACGACATTACAACTTTTGCAACTCTTGCAGATATCTACGTGTGTGTTATTTTTTCTCGTGCTCATCTTTCTCTCTATCTTTCAAATTCAAAAACATTCAAATGATGATCGGCAGATGAACGCAACGTAACGTGCTGTACAATTTCCTATAAATAAGTTTTTCCAAAAAAGCTCTATCTCGTAATCTTCATCACTTATAAGCGGCTACAGCAATCTATATCATACTTATTGCGGAATAAGTTTTGTTCATACAAAGAATTTCGTTCGCCGCCCGCTTCGTCAACTCTCTCTCTCTCTCTCTCTCTCTCTCTCTCTATCTCATTCTCCGTTTCTTCCTTTTCTCACGTTCTGAATTTGTCGCACTAGCCGATCAAATGCCACGAGGAATTTATTGACAGTTTTATGGTGATACAATGTGATATAATTTTTGATGATACAAGCGATGAAACGAATATTTTCTTAAGTGTGATTAAAAAGCGATATACAAACTCCCAACAGGCTTGATTACTTAGCGAGATTTTCCATACCGCTTATGATTAGTGTTATGCCAGAGGCATTAGTCACGCCATTCCGATGCCTTGTCATGCTGTAAAGATTATGCACAATGTTTATTCAGTTGTGTGTTTGTGTTTTAGGTGTTCAGTTTGAGGGACAAAATAAGGTGTCCATGTTTTGTGTATAGTGAAAGTGGATGCTGCCATTAAATGTGTTTGAGTGCTTTCGTTGCGTTGTGTTGCGTTCATGGAGTTTATGTATTGTATACTCGACTGAATCGTGACTGCAATTTGATAATGTTTGTCTTTTATTTGGTACCTTTTATTCATCAATTTTGTTTTTGTTTTTTCGACTGAATATATATTTAGGTGCTCGGGAGCAAGTGGTGGCATACACCGAAAAATCACAAGTCAAACACGAAAATCGTCATATTCAATTGGTGCGCGAATATGGATTTCATCCGCGTACAAAAGCTAGTGTTAGCGATGGTGCCGTATTGCCGAGAAAATACGAACCATTTCCAGGAGATATGTATGGCCGGCCATTAGAAGAAATAGATACATTCATTTACGAAGAGGTTGGTGTCTTTTTCGAATTCTTTTGGGTCGCTTTGTCGATAATAATCGACACTCATGACTCGAATTTATTTTATACTCACATTTTGCTTCATATTTTATGCAATTTATTATACGAACATTTTTCTGGTTTTTATTGCGATTGCTTCTTTCGTCATTTGCAGACATTTTGTGTGGTATCGAAACGTTTCAAAAAGAACTACATTCATAGATTTACTGGTACAAAAAGCTTATTTTTATTTGAACCATGGAGCAAAACTCGTCGAATCTGCGTTTATATAGCAACGAACCAATATTTCGATTACGTTGTCATGGCAACGATCCTATTGAATTGTATCTTCTTGGCGATGACAGAGACAGTGGAAGAGGCCGAGTAAGTATTGCCAATTGCCAATGAATTCGCACCGATTTCATTCTTTGCATTCGAATTTATTTATATTTTTTCTGCTTATCTGTTCATATCGGTTTTGTGCGCCGTATTTTGCAATAAATTTCCAACTAAATTACAATATAACGCCAACTGGCACGAGATCATGAACAGGATTTGTTTTCATATTCATGCACGACCACACATTCTCATTTACAACATCCGGAGCACTTTCTGGCTCTTGAATTGATAGTTCATATTTTTCTTATTCTTGTTGTTATTGTTGTGGTTTTGCACATATTTGATGTTTTTTGTTTCCCGTTTGGTCTTATTCACTTTATTTGCAGGTACATATTCTTGGCAATTTACTCATGCGAAATGGTTATCAAAGTTATTGCCAAAGGTTTTGTTTTGAATAAATACACTTATCTACGTAATCCATGGAATTGGCTTGACTTTGTTGTGATTACGAGCGGCTATGCAACAATAGGCATGGAAGTTGGTAATTTGGCTGGCCTTCGAACCTTTCGTGTATTAAGAGCTCTCAAAACGGTATCCATAATGCCGGGTAAGTGTTCATACTGTTCATAGTTAAAATAATGACGTTGAAAATTCGACGATGATAAGTAAAATGTTAATTTAATTGATAATATGTGGCATTGATGCAAGCATTTGTTGTAAACGTCGCATGACTCTATTTATCGACTTGCTGTGGAAATAGTGGTAAAATTATGCAATGAAATTTGCAATTCTAATAATCGCCCACTGTTTTTCTAGGACTCAAAACCATCATCAACGCGTTGCTACATTCATTTAAACAGTTGGCTGAAGTCATGACACTGACGATCTTCTGTCTGATGGTTTTTGCACTCTTTGCTCTACAGGTAGTTCATTAGCGTATATCATATAAATATTAGATACACATATATGTGTGTATATACATAAATATATTTTGGCCGCTTTGGAAAACCGAATTCAAGCGCGCCAAGAAGTGACGGAGTGAAGAAAAAGCACAAAAGCACTGATTATGGCAATAATCGTAAAACAAAACCATATTATGTGTTGTAACGAATTGTATTTTGTCGTGTATACAGGTGTACATGGGTGAGCTGAGAAACAAGTGTGTAAAGAATGTGCCAGACGGTTGGAATGTAACACACGAAGAATGGAGAATGTAAGTTGTCACCGATGAACCAGTGCTATTTAAGCTTAATTTGTAGTTTGTACTCATTGTCATAGTCACAGGCAAAAGTGAATGTCGTTGTCATTGTTTTGGTTACTCCCATTTAGAGAAGTGTGCACTCGCACCAAAAGAATTCCCGAAAGCTTTTGCTTCTTGAACTGTGTGTGCAATCCGCCCGAAAAATAGTCAGCTACTCAAGCTACTATTAACTAAACATTCCATTCCAGTGCACACTTTGCTTGTATTCGCATGCAATAATAATGCATTTGAATTGATAATCGTTTAACAAAAATCGCTGACAATTCATTTCACATGTGTTCGACATTCATTTCATCATTTCCTTTAGACGCTTCATTCCATTATAACTTATGAGCTCCTTGGCTAAACCATAAATGTTCATTTTCCTATCAATTTTTATCGCTAACAGGTGGATTAATGATACGGATAATTGGATATATGATGAGGAAGACATTGATAGACCAATGTTATGCGGAAATTTAACGGGCGCACGACACTGTCCAACAGGTAGACTATCAACAAATAATATGGCCATAGAGTGAACAAAAAATGAAACCGAAAGCAATTTGTCGATAGAGTGTAAGAAGCAGAGCATAAAAAAGAAGAAACAGGAACACAAGTGAATTAAACCGAAGAAGCAAAAAATAAAGTACGAGCAACGGATTGTGAAGCGGTTTTATGACTGTGTGTGTATGTGTGAAAGAGTGCTTTTTTGGCATAGGTTAAAGTTTTGTTTGCCTATTTAAAATGCCAATAATATGCTATGCATAGCGGTATTTTCGTGTATTGCATAAAAGTGTAACAGTTTGTTCTTTTTTGCTGCAGTCAAAAGAAAACCGAAAACATTGAAAATCAACCCCTAAATGACAGCCAACTAACTTTTTACAACAAATATAAATATATTTACGATTATACACATATTTACATATATCACTATTAAATTTTCATCCAATCATCCTCTATTTCTCTCCTTGTTTCTTTTTTCATCAATTTTTTTGTTTTTTCTTCCCTCTTCATTGCATTTCGCTTATGTGCGATATTCCATTGTGAAATTGTGTTTCATGTATAGGCTATACCTGCTTATGTGTTGGCAACAATCCAAATCATGGGTACACAAATTTCGATAATTTCATGTGGTCGATGTTAACAACATTTCAACTAATAACTCTGGATTATTGGGAGAATGTTTATAACATGGTTAGTATCAAATCCATCGTATATGTCAAAATTCGACTTGGTGTTTTGGTGCCCTGCGTAGCGTGCTACGGGTAATGTGAATGTGTTTTTCTTCACATTCGTTTCATTTAGTGAATATGTATATTGTACATGTGTAACATGATGGCAATTGGTAAAATTGAAGACACAGAAATCGAAATGGAAAACACAAGCACATTACTTGCGTGCTGTAGAACCCCAATCAGCTCTCTTATTCTCACCATTCATTCTCTCTTTTCCGCATTAATTCATTTGGTGCGCGCATTAATATTTGTTGAATGGTTCATACATTGCAAAATATGAATATTACCAGCACAAAGGCACCAAGCTACGTGGATGGATCCAAACGCTATTGTATTTGCCCATAATGACCATTAAACACATTTGAATGTGTATGACTGTTGCATGTGTCAAAAGTTTATGGACAGAATATTTAAAGCACACAAAACAAACCAAACAAACAACGTGAATAATAATAATAATTTCTCATTGCAATTTATTCGATGCATTTTAGATTTTAGCGACGAGCGGACCGATGAGTGTTACCTTTTTCACTGTTGTCGTGTTTTTCGGTTCATTTTATTTAATCAATCTAATGCTAGCCGTCGTTGCGCTTGCATATGAAGAGGAAGCGGAAATTACACTCGAGGTATATACATATATTATCCACAAAAATGAATTTCCTTCTTGTTTGCTGATTTCTCTGCATTCTTTATCGTATCAATTTTTCGCTTATTTGGCACTTAATTGCGGTGTCCGATGTGCATTTTCGTGCAATTCCATTGGATTTCGGTATAGGAACGGAAAAAAGACTTGCTCGATCATCGGGACGATTCAACGTTCAGCTTCGATCCTTCCACATTAACCGTTCGCAAATTGAATAAGAACCATAAAAAGAAAATCGATTCTCGAAAAGGTGTTTTGTTGGCCTCTTATTCTCGTAAAAAAACGCGAAAACGAAAAAAAGGTGGAAAAGAAAATGACAATAATGGAAACAAACAAATTCAGACACCACAACAACCACAACAACAATCGTATGAACAGCAGCAGCAACAGCAAACACAGCAACAGCAATCACAAGAACAAGAACAACAACAACATCAACAACAACCGGTAGATTCTAATTTAATGTTTCAGTCAATCTGTCAAGTTTGCTAACAAGACGTGTTTCTCGAAATAAATAGAATACAAGCCGATCGATAACACCAAGTCCTAATTCGAATACCAAACAGATAATCGCACGACCGCAAGTGTTGGCTGTACAGCGAACCCGAGGTTTACCATCGTCATCAACAGCAACTGCAGCAGCAGCCGCAGCAGCACAGGTCGCTTCCAATCAAAATCCGAATGTATTACATCCATTAGGAGTCAATTATCGTGGCCAGTTATTGCCAACAAGTCGACAGGCTAGCTCAAACACCAGCGAAGGTGGTGGTAATCGAGAATCATCTCTCGATGATTCTGGTGTTGTTGACGATCACGAAGAACAAGATATTGAATCAGCCAATTTACAAACAACCGATGTAAGCAAATTACAAAGTTGAATTGCAGCTCATTTGAAATTTGAATGACATTTAACCGTGCTTTGAATAATATTTAAATCACAAATCAAAGTCAATACCATTAAAAATTAATCTTATGTTCGTAGTTACAACGAGATGTAACACCATTAACCACCGCACTATCTCCTCGTGATATTCAAATCATAAAGTGCAATGGAAATATAACGAAAATTCGAAAAGACAATGTATGCACATATCAGCCTGAATATCTATCTCATATAGTTATGCTAGGTGAGTAGGAGTCTTCAATACAACACACACAATACATTTCCTAGATTGTACACAGGAAGTGATGAGAAAGGAGCAAAGACATCTCTGCTTCTACCTCTCTCTCTCTCTCTGTTTGTGTGACCCTTCAACTTTTCTCTGTTTCGGCAGTATGGGTCTTCTATTTATGTTTATGTGTATTTTTTTCTGATAGATGATCTTCCCGACCGCAACTGTGGCAGATGCGAGCAATGTTGCATCGACTACGATGGATGGCTTCAATTCCAAAATTGTTTGTACAAAGTATGATAATGATGACATTCTTTGATAAAATTCTTGTGTGCTTGAAACATTTTAAAACACGATTGCTACGGCTGTCGTTCGTTTCAATGCGAAGATGTCATGATACATTTGTTTAACTTATTTGCCTTTGTATTTTCTTTTTCCGTTTCAATTATATTGCATTTTCCGCAACACAGATAGTTAAGGATCCGCTTTTTGAACTGGGTATCACATTGTGTATAGTTTTGAATACACTATTCTTAGCGTTAGAGCATCACGGAATGAGTGAAATGAATCGACGTATTCTGGATATTGGAAATAAGGTAAATCAAATTAACAAATAACACAGATTGTAAAAGGAACATAGAATGCAAAATAGATTGAACGAAACGAGGAAGATAGAAAATTCGTGTTGATGTTCGCATTTTGTCGCCCATGCAAGTGCGATTGCTTTTTTTTCCGTTGCTACCACCATCGACAATCTTGAAACGACAGTTTTTGTACAAATGTTGCAGCTATATCCTGTTTTCTTCTTTCATTTTTTTTTCTTCATTCATATTGTTTCGAAATGTGTGACACTTAGCTACTTTTTGTTCCTTTTTCTTGCGTCTAGGTTTTCACATCGATTTTTGCATTTGAATGCATTGTTAAATTAATGGCACTATCCAAAGATTTCTTTGGGTGTGGATGGAATATTTTCGATTTGATAGTTGTTTCAGCTAGCATTTGTGACATTTTTTTGGAGCTGCTCGAAGGTTTGAGCGTTTTACGAGGCTTAAGACTGGTAAATTTTGTACACTAATTTTTCTCATTTTTCTCTCTCATTTTTTTTATGTTCTTTGAATTATTTGAAAAAAAAAAAAAAAAACAATATTCAATCCAACTATCTACTACAAATACATGGTCGGTTTTTCTTTTCCTTCCACATTAGTTACGGGTGCTTAAGTTAGCTCAATCATGGACAACTATGAAAGTTTTATTGAGTATTATTATTTCAACAATTGGCGCTCTGGGAAATCTTACGTTAATCTTAGTTATAGTCATTTATATATTTGCCGTTATTGGAATGCAATTGTTTTCGAAGGACTACACACCTGAAAAGTTTTTTCCAGATCCAGTGCCTAGGTAAGAGCAATCAGCCAATTAATTATTATTTATGATGTACATTTTGCATACATACATTTATGCGTTGTGATGATGATGCTGTTGTTTAACGCTTACGGATTCATCATTATCGTTGCCATGCTCTTGATAAAAGTTCAAACAGGGATTGTTTTGTGCTGAATACGTACAACATTTATATAACGAAATAATATATGTGATATTTGTCGTTCGTCGGTTGCCTGTGCGCTATACAAATACATATGTGTGTGCCAAGCGAAAACATCACAAGAATCGGACGGATATTTTTAAACGATATATGTATAAATATGCAGCTGCAAACAATCCCTGAGCGAAAATCATTTCACTCGATTGAAATGTCATGAAATGCATGAATTCGTCTTTAGAACGATTTTGATTCTCGATTTTTTTTTTGTTTATTGTGCATTTTTCTGCGTATCATGTACACAAATATAGATGGAATTTCAACGATTTTTTTCACTCGTTCATGATGATATTCCGAATTTTGTGCGGTGAATGGATTGAACCACTGTGGGACTGTATGCGGGCCGAGGAAAAAGTATGTCTTGAATTGTAAATTTTAAATGTGAAAATAATTAAACTGCATTGACTTTTCTTTAAATATACGAAACAGGATGGGGCATCAACGTGCTTTTTGATTTTTCTTCCGACACTTGTTATGGGAAACTTTATGGTTTTAAATTTGTTCTTGGCCTTGTTGCTTAATAGTTTTAATTCGGAAGAGTTAAAAAATCGAAAAGAGGTAATTGAATTTATAGAAATCACGTGATTTTTTCGTCTTTTAGTTTGCGATAATATAAACAAATTCAATTACGTTCAATTATACAGGAGGTTGGCGATGAATCTCGTTTGGCCAGAAGTTTTGAGCGTATTCGTTCGATAATACGAAAACAACGCTTAGGCCGTAGCCAAAGTTCAAAGATGTCAGAGGTTGTGAGTGAAGTGATTAAACGCGAAAAGAAACAAAAGCTTCGCAAACAATATCCGAAGACGCTTTATCGTCGAAGTTACGAGGTTAATATCAATTTGAAGTCATTTCATTGCTTGATATTTAGATTTTGTTTTCTTTTTATTTTTGGTTTAGGAATCATTGAAACGTCCAATTTCCGGATCTGATTTTGGCTATGAAATTCCACTGAAAGATCCACGTTGTTTAGAAGCCATAATGTCGAAAGAAGAATTGACGGCTGAACAAACCACAGATATTGATGCCGATACACCCGATGTGGATAAGTAAGTGTTGCTATTTGGTATTCAATACTATTCATCGAATGGGATGTGATGATTTTATGAAAATTGCAGGACAAAGCTGAAAGATACGTACGTTTCAATTGAAAATGAGAGAAAATTGTTGCAACAAATGTCTTCCGGCTGCGGAACACAGCAAAATGATAGCAAAGATGAGCCAACTTATGCTGAATCACTGGAGCTGCAGGTGTTCAGTTATCCCACACAGCCAAATGATGGCGATCCAGAGTCATTTGTATTGTTGCCGAGTAGTTTAAAACCGGATAATTTAGATGCCGATTCGTTAGCAAAATATTCAAACGAAAGAAAAGCAAGCACACCAACGATATGTGGATCAATGGAAAATGTCTCTCAAATACCAAAAACATTGAAATTGAAAGAAAATTCAAATGGTGTCAATAAATGTCGAAGTTATGCAAGCCCAACATCGCAATGTTCAAAATCCGACCGAAAATTGAGTGTGAGCGGTTCGATAACACACAACGAATTCAATATACCACGCTTAATGAGTGATCAATCAATAAATTCCATTTCAAATGATCACGAGGTGGAAGTTTTCTCGCAGCAAAATCTTCGCGACGAATTGCTCAGCTGTGATAAAAAGGAGCTCTTTCAATTTCTAAACGATGACTTCGACAATAGTCACAACTATTTCAGCGACACAGTTGGTTATGGCAGCGCTTTAATCGATCCAGACACTGATAGTTTAATGTTCGATTCGAAACGTGATACCACCTTATTTTCACCCGTTCGCAAAGCATCGACAGCAAGCAATAAATCGAATTTAAGCTACATTTCAAATTCGATATTTGAAGCGCTGGAACAAACACGGGGTGGCAGCATCAGTGAATCGATAGATCGCAAATCGCTACGACAAATTAAAGCAGCATCAGAAACGTATCAGCACTGCGATGAATTGGAACCATTGGTGCAGGACTCTGAATTTGAGAATATAATCGCCAGTTTTGAAAAAGAATTGTCGAGCATTAAAAATTCGACATGTTCATTGCAACGTCAATTATCTGCAATTTCTCGTACGCCAGATACTCAGGCCAAAGGATCATTTGAAAAAAGCTCTTCCACAAATACATACGAAGAAATACTTCCAATGCGACAAAACAACAATAGCAATCAAAGTACACGGGACAGTGTTAAATTGAAGCGTCGCAGTTTAGAAAAACAAATGAAAATTGACGATGATTTCAATGTTCCGCACGAAATCAAGAAGATTTGTGATAATATGCAGGCACCGTTTGCCGATTCGCATATGATATCAAAAGGAATAAAAGTCGATCTCAAACAAAGTAACAGTTACTCGGGCGGTTCGACAGATATAATCATATCGCCAAAGCCACGTAGACGAAGCGAATTTCACAATAGCCTAGATCGTATAAAACGGTCAAGTCTTATTGATCGAGTCGATGAATCATTGCTGGAAGGTGATCTGAATGCGGTTCAACATCAAGAACAACAACATTTGTTGTATCACACACGTAGCGAACGACTTCCAAGAAAATATTTAAATCCTGATATGAACATAGAGAGTTTATCGTTGAAAAGTACAGGCAGCTATGAACATTTGGTTTGTCACACCGAAAATAAAGAGACGAAAAAGATTCGATTCCAGAAAAGTTCGGAAGATAATGAATCATCGTTGACAGACAAAGAAAAATGCGATAAAAATACAAGTGATGCTATTGATGGTGATGAGCACAAAGGTATTTTATCAACACACCAACATTACACTAAAACTAATAATTTTCCATTTGCTGCCCATGCTCAATATAGATATAGAATCATTTTCTGAATGAATCAACTGAAAATTTCATTTTAAATTTCTTTTCATGAGTATCAGTGCCGAGCATACGTTTGAGTGAATAAATTTGTGCCTTGTGACGAGCATGTTATAAATAATGCTGCATGTCATCGCCATATTTTGCCATATGCAAACGCTAATGCCTTAGTACATGCACATAGGGACACACACAGTATAGTGCAGTGAAAAGTGTTTCAAACACACGACACACTCATTGCATACGACACCATACGACCAATGTGTTATTTTGTCGTTGTTACCAACAATAATGACATGCAACTTACTTCCACGTACAGCATATTTTACACAAAACCAAATTTATTCATGCCAATTTATGTTCGGTCGGATATTGATTGCTTATCCCTCAATCGAAGTAGATTGAAACAAAAAAACTGTACAAAACTGACTCTTACTTATGCAAATGATTTCTTTTTATTAATATAAAATAATACTCGCCAATTCATACTTCTTCATATAATAATATCATATCAATTCACAAATTTATGATATTATACATACATACCTATAATATCAATTTGAAAGTTTCCATGTTTTCAGTTCGTCTTTTAAATTCATTATAAAACGCTTTGAACTGAACACAAATAATGGCCTGCATTTTAAAGATAAATTATTAATTTGTTTTTATCTCTTGATTCTATAAACTATATGCTAGTCAGCCTGTATATACGACCGCTTCTAGGTATAAATTTCTCCTTAGCTCATTTTTTCATCCTCTATTTTTCGTAGATAAACAAAATGCTGTAGCACTTTCAGATTCAGATAAACCATGGCATTGCCTTGTTTCTTATGTAGATGATTTAACTGGTAAAAATTCAGTCATTGTTTTGATTTTATTTAGTATTATTACACCGTTTTCCATTTAGTAGGTGGAAGACGTAATTCAAAAGGGCTATACGATGATCCAATGCTATTTCCAAGCTTTGGAAAACGTAAAGCTCCAAAGGTACCTGATGATTGTTTCCCACAAAAGTGCTACGAAAGGTAAGAAATCGATTTCTAAAATGATAACACACTAATTAAAAAAAAAAAACTATTCAAATCCAATTTCAATCGTTGGCGAGAAGATGTCCATGTTGGAGAACTTGTTGTGGTGCTGTCTGTCAAGAAAGATGGTGTCAAATGCGAACGGCAGTTTTATCAGTTGTTGATACACCTGCATTCGAATGGTTTGTTCTCGTATTGATATTTGCCTCAAGCATAACGCTTTGCTTTGAGGATATTTATCTGGATTCAAATGTAATGCTGAAGCGGCTACTGTACTGGACGAATTTTATATTCAGCATGATATTTGTGGTTGAAATGGTACTGAAGTGGATGGCATTAGGTTTCACACGATATTTCACCAGCTTTTGGACCATTCTCGATTTTATCATTGTATTTGTAAGAATTATTTTAAACAAAAGATTAAACATACACACACATCGCAAACATTTACCTCTTCTATTTCTCTCGCATCGTTTTGTGTTTTCATTGAAAATGTAGGTGTCAGTATTTTCTCTGCTCATTGAAGAAAATGAAAATTTGAAAGTGTTGCGGTCATTGAGAACATTGCGCGCTTTGCGTCCGCTTCGGGCCATTTCACGATGGCAAGGAATGCGAATCGTTGTTAATGCACTGATGTATGCCATTCCATCCATTTTCAATGTACTGCTGGTGTGCCTAGTATTTTGGTTGATTTTCTCAATTATGGGCGTACAATTTTTTGGCGGGAAATTTTTTAAATGCGTCGATGATGAAGGTGTCTTGCTTGACGTTTCGGTGGGTTATAGCGTGACTCGCGAGCATATACATATTTAATTTTTCTCAATTAATATACTTAAACTTCGATTTACAGATTGTGAAAACGCGTACAGAATGTTTACACAAGAATTACACGTGGATCAATTCAAGAATAACATTTGATCATGTTGGTATGGGCTATTTAGCCCTTTTACAAGTAGCAACATTCGAAGGATGGATGGAGGTGATGGCTGATGCTGTCGATTGTACCGGAGTTGATTTGCAACCGCAACGTGAGGCTAATCTTTACGCTTACATATATTTCGTGATTTTCATTGTGTGCGGTTCGTTCTTCACTTTAAATCTATTCATCGGTGTTATTATCGACAATTTTAATATGCTCAAGAAAAAGGTATTTTTTTTTAATTTTCTTTATGTATTAACAGATGGAAAATATTATATATATATTTGACCTGAATTTACAGTATGAAGGTGGCGTTCTCGAGATGTTTTTAACTGAATCACAGAAGCACTATTACACCGCCATGAAAAAATTGGGTCGAAAAAAGCCACAAAAAGTGATTAAACGTCCTTTGAATACGTTTCTCGCAATGTTTTACGATCTTTCCAATTCAAGAAGGTAAACAATTTTCCATCTTTCTATGTCCTACTTTTGCTGTTTGCAGCACAAATCAATTTCAAATCATTTTTTCTTGATTCCATTTTCAGATTCGAAATCGCAATATTTGTTCTCATTTTTTTAAATATGCTGACTATGGGAATCGAACATTACGACCAGCCGCATGCCATATTCTTTATATTAGAAGTGAGCAACGCGTTTTTTACCACGGTATTCGGTTTAGGTAAGTTGTACATTTCAATTCAATTTGATTGTTGACGTATTGAAATGAAAATAGCAAAATCTATAGAGAGGGAGAGAGAGAGACGAACAAGTGAATTCAATTAAATTAAATCGACTATTTCAGAGGCAATCGTGAAAATTGTCGGCCTAAGATATCACTATTTCACCGTTCCATGGAATGTTTTTGACTTTCTACTTGTGCTCGCATCGATTTTCGGCATTCTAATGGAAGACGTTATGATTGATTTGCCAATATCACCGACCCTATTGCGCGTTGTTCGTGTCTTTCGCATTGGACGAATTCTTCGATTGATTAAAGCGGCAAAGGGAATACGAAAGTTATTGTTTGCATTGGTTGTATCATTGCCAGCTCTATTCAATATTGGCGCATTATTGGCATTGATAACATTTATTTATGCAATTTGTGGAATGTCATTGTTTGGTCATGTTCGTCTGCAAGGCGCCCTCAACGATATGGTCAACTTCCAAACATTTGGCCGAAGTATGACGCTGTTATTCCGTCTGATGACATCGGCCGGATGGAATGATGTCTTAGAATCACTTATGATTCAACCGCCAAAATGTAATCCACATTTCAATAATCAAACGAATGGCGATTGTGGTCATCCGCTTTTGGCAATCACATACTTTACCAGCTTTATCATCATCAATTATATGATTGTCATTAATATGTATATTGCAATCATTTTGGAGAACTTTAATCAGGCGCATCAGGAAGAGGAAATTGGTATTGTTGAAGACGATTTAGAAATGTTCTACATTCGATGGTCCAAGTAAGTTGGACAATGCTATGCTACAAAATTGATTCGATTAGATTAATAATTTATCGACATATTTATCTTGTAGATACGATCCGCATGCCACACAATTCATTCATTTCTCTCAAGTATCGGATTTCCTTGCATCGTTGGATCCACCATTGGGCATTCCAAAACCGAATACAGTCGCCTTGGTATCATTCAATTTGCCAATTTCGTCGGGCAATAAGATTCATTGCTTGGATATTTTGCATGCGTTAGTGAAACATGTTTTGGGTCATGTCGAAGAAACTGATAACTTCAAACAATTACAGGCAAGAGTGCAAATTTCAAATGTTCATAATGAAAATTAAATGACATGTTCCCCAATTGCTATAGGAACAAATGGATGTTAAATTCAAGAAACAATTTCCAACTCGTAAAGAACTAGAAATTGTTTCGTCGACTCGTATTTGGAAGCGAGAGGATAAAGCTGCTAGAACCTTACAATACGCTTGGAGAGAATATTTGAGGTAATTGTTTTAAACTTTCTAAAAATTATTTAAAAAAAAAACGCGCATTATCTTTATTTTCTGTATTTGAAAAATAAAAAAGATTGAAGAAAGAACGTGAACGTTCACCATTGTCACAAGAAGACGAGCATACTCAAACGTCTAGCCCAGGCGGTTGGCATAGTAAATTGTCAGCATTGAATTTCTTGCATTTGCAAGTTCATCGCCGTGGTACAGCAACATCAAGCCGAGCATCTTCTCGCAAATCATCCAGAGCATCAGATGCATCCGATTTGAGTGAATTGGCTGGACCATGGCTTAATTTACCTCTTATGCTTGTCGGTGGTGCCGGTGACATGCTCAAAGACATGAAACCACCAGAAGATGATAAAAAGTATGCATCATTCACATATTTGTGGTCGTAAACATTAAACATTTATTTTTTAAAACTGCAGCTCTGATTCAGGATCACGAACACCTCGCCGAAAAAGTTTCTATAACTTCTTTTTACGACATCAAGATGCAGTGGACGATTCTATAACATCGCCGTCAGTAAATAGAAAAGCCGTTAGTCCAAATGCATCGATTGGCCGACCAGTGTCTGCTGCCGATTCATTTGACGAAAAACAAACGCAACAGCAACAACAGCCCCAGCAGCAGCAGCAACAACAACAGCAACAATTACAAACATCAGCCCCGATAAAGACAAAACGTGCCACCAGTTTTGTACGTAAAAAGCCACCATTTGAACGCGGTTTGTCCGCACAAAGTGCCCTCCGAATAAATAAGAATGCTCATGTTGGTAAGTAATTTGTTTGTTTTATTTCTTTAATTTTACCTCCACAAAACTGAGATTGTAGTTAGTATCGATGTGTGTGTGTGCACTATATGTGAGAGCAATTTTTTAATTAGTTGATGGTCCTTCAACCACATCTTCGAACACCATCAAAGATGTGAGCATTTTGGTTACAGAACCATCTCCTGACATTCCACCAGCATCATCAATAAGTAGTCTTCATGTAGAACCACCTAGTACGTTGGTTCATGTTTTAGTGCACAGAGAAAGTGAAGAATATCAAACCGATTTGGAAGATAGTAGTAGTCCAGACAAAGGTACGTTTCGATTGTTTTATATTCATTTTCACATTTCCTTTCATAACATCCTATGGTCTTCTATAAGAACCTATACAGACCCCATCCACAGAGCCGAATGATTTCCCCGTAGATAATAATGGCTGTGGTATCTTGAGCACATTTGATTATGAATAATTTTGTTGTTTTTATAAAAAAAAAAAACTTTTTTTATTTATTTACCTTTTTTGAATACCAGATGAACAAATGAAAAAGCCCCAAAAATCCCCGACACAGACGCAATTGCTTGCATCGCCCGGTAGAGCAGCAGACGATTTGGATTCGGTCAGTAATAATGAGAGCATTGTCAAAATAATGGTCGAAAGTCCAAAAGAACCGCCAAATGTGGAATTTGGAGTTGCCTTTCCTCAAACAGCAGTCGTCCGATATAAGACTGAAACAACACATGAAATAGAACAAACTGATGGTGAAAATTCACCGACATCAGTTGTCACATTGGTAACGGATAATATACAAGAGCCAATTGATGTAAATATTCCCCGTGACACCACAAACATTTTCTATGCATACGAAGAAACGGAAATAGACAATAGTTTTCAAGCACAGCCAGCTCAATTAGCTGATTCGTTCAGTGCTTCAATTCCAGAAACCCATGACACAATCGATACATCTAATCTACTCCACAATAATCAATCAGTTAACGATGACACACAAGCTCCAACAGAAATGAATACATCCGATAATCAAACAGCAAACCAGATCAGTAGTGATAATTCTAGATCAAGTAGCTGACCAACAAATTAAAATCCAACAAAAAACTCATTAACACAAATCGATGACATTTCGTGAGCGCAAAAAAAATGAAACAAATACAAAAGACATCTCTTAAACATACAATAAAAAAAACCAATCTAACATAGTTGACAATCTTCTCTTGAGATCTTCATACATTGTAGCAAAATACTAAGTTTAGAAACGCATTTTTTTATTGAAGTCATAGCAAAAAAAAATCTGTTTCTTCTATACAAGACATTGGATCATCATCTAGTTCAGTAGCGAAAATCACAGCGCAACTTTTTATACATTTACAAAAAAATCTCCTCTCATTCAAGCCACATTAAAATAATTAACAAATACAAAAAATATGTATCAAGAAAAAAAAAAATTACATAAAAATGAGCTGAAATTCAGACTAAATCATATTTTTATCTGATATCTTTGTCTCTCATACTCGTATATTTTGTTTTTAGATGCGTTTTTAAGAATTAAAAAAGAAAAGAAAACAAAAAAAAACTGCTACTTTCCAATAGAACAAATGATAATAATAAATACATTCTTCTGTATATAAAAAAAAGTCTGCAACGCTAAAATTTAATTGCCGTTGATGCAAATTATAAGAGACTATATTCACAAACACACACACAAATTTTTATGGTGTTAACCAAAATTGAAAATGAAAATTTCGCTTCGAAAACCAAAAACCTTTTAAATGTAGAAAAACCACTAGCTACTTGCATGCTCATGCATTATATAATACAGGTTGGCCCTAACCTTTTTAAAGTTCTTTGAATAATTTAGTAACTTTAGTAACTGAAATTCTGAGATAGTCAGTATATTTAATGCGGTAAAAATAAAACTGAAAACAAGTTTCCGACACAAATGATAACAAAAAAACACCGCTAATAGCGCCATAGCGACAATGTGATGAAGAACGCACAGGTCGATGTAATGGCACACATGAGTGAGTACTTGATAGTAAACCAAAAAAAAGAAACTGAAGAAAATAAAAAACGAATTTGTTATGTATTTAATAAAGGGATTTATCAATTATTAGCGTACAATATAGTTTAATTTGTTATGACGCATGAACAAAAACAGCAAACAACAGAAACAACAACAAAACCACATAAAAAAATCAATTTGGAGTTTTTACAAATTATAACGTCAATCTAACGAAAATTTAATTAAGAGTTAATTAACAATAAATTTACTTAATGGCATACGTAATCAATAAACTGTAATATATACAGAGATATAAAGTTCAATGACAAAAACAAAATGAACTGCATAGCCCAAATTGAAAAGACGTTGAAAACAGCATTCATCAATTACTACACGGTACGAGGTGGAACAATTACAATCAATATCGAAATTGTTAATTTCATATACGAATTTTACGCGTATCAATCGGCGTGACAAACTCAGAGAGAACAATTGCTTGTTCATAAAAAAAGGAGACACAAAGAATAAACAAACACAAATAAAACGAAAATACACTTGAAACGATACTCTACGTCTGGACCAAATCCCTTATCGTATACAATTAAATACTCTTTTTCTCAAATATACACGATCTTACACACACAAACACACACGCACATACACATCTTCTTCTGCTTGTGACCCACATACACACACACCAGATTCATTGCTTTTTGCTATAACACATCGTCAATGATTCTAATTATTTTTATTAATATAACACCGAATACTGCAAATTGCAAATACCGTATACCATTACCAACAACAAGTACCAACAATCGAGTTTGTGAGTGTTTAATCGTATTTTTCCAGTTCACCAAACATCCTATACCCTCCAGCTCCTTAGCCCTCAAATTTTAAACTATTTTACCTGCATGAATGCAGCCACAAATTACACGCAATGAGAATTTTTAGTAATTCTCTGATTATTTTTGGAAATCGCTACGCAGAGGTATAAATTGTAACAATAAATAGACATTTATATAAAAATGTATTTATTAACATTTTTGTCAGTTTGACATGAATTTCGTGTTCAATTACAAAGAATGACAGACAAAGAAACACAACATAAATAAATTTAGAACAAAAATGATCCAATTAACATTTTTTTTTATTCAAAAAAAAAAAAAACAACAAAAAGCTAAAATATACAATATACATTGAAGTGCGCCATTTAAACAAAGTAAAACACAACAAAAAAACATGTAGATAACGATCAAATAGGATACTTAATCGATATAAATCTATCGACAGATTAAGTAGGAAACCAAATACGCAAAATAATTACTAAAGACAATTTAATGATTTAACGCAACAGATCGTAGCTATTATTGAGCTTTTAAAGAGAAATGTACGCATTAAGCGAACATTTTAATATGTCAACAGTAAGTGAAAAGAGCGACATCATTGCTAGAGAGAAAGAGACAGCCCAACAGAATGCGATTAACAAATTCATTTCACGAACATAAACTGGTGACAAAAAAAGGGAGAATTAAAAAAAATCAAAGAGAATTCTACTATTTTAGACTAACAAAGCTAAATCTATCATTAGTATAAATGACATTACAAAAGAAGATTTAAAATAGATTTATTATACCGTTAAATTTTTTTAGGGATAAAGCTCAATGAACTCAGTTGCGAATATCGTTTTCTTCACCTTGAAACAATAAAAAAAAATTGAAAAAAACCACTGAAGATATAAATATGAATCTGAAAACTCCATTGACTGAACGGATGCACTCTTAAATACTCACGCTTGTGATTTTTTAGAGAGAAAAGAGAGAAATGGAAAAGCAATATGAATTACATCTATGTATATACAAATATATTATGTGGCGAAAACAAAACACACAAAAAAAAAATTGTATAAATCAAGTCATTTTGAACAAAGCAAATAGTTTATATTTATAGCGAATGAATACAGTTATGAAGTACAACAATTCACTTGTTGTCATGTCATATCAGGAAACATTAACAAAGTAGACAATTGAAATGAGTCGTTCATTTTCATATAACATAACTATACTATAGAAGATATGAATGTTATTATATAAATTTACAGAGTTTTTGTGGTCACGTTTCAGTTGTCCATGTAGACAAGAAAGAAAAATATAAAGAAATAACAAGATAAAGAGAGATGAAGCAATTAGACTCATTCGATTGAAATTCACTGTAAAACTGTTGGTTGCTATGCGAACACAATTGCCATGACCTTTGGCAACTTGTCATTTCTTGGGACGCCCACAATGCACCGATGTGAGCGCGCGAGAGCGTGTGCGCTTTCATGCACACACAAAAAACAGCGCACTACTTCGAACCGAAACCGAAACCAAGACTAAAACAAGCAAAGAACACATGAACAATAATGAATAAGCAGCGTAAGCAGCTGAGATCGTTCATTGAGATAGAGCTCTTCAACTTTTAGCAACAACTTGACAGCAAACATTTAACAAGTTTTAAACCAAAAAATTGCCATCGAGACAAATACACACACTCAAACATACACAACATTGCAACAATTTCTGAATTGTTTAATCTTTTTGACGGACATTGTGTACAGATTCTAAATTTTTCCAAGTTCCTGGCTCAAATTCAATTTACGCCATACAGAGCCATACGTCAATCAAACCAATTTGCACCCAATCAACGATCAATTTGTCTACTTGGATAACAAGCAATGTGGTAAAACATGACACCAGATTTTCATTGTTTACTCATAAATATATATAAATATATTTTAATTTAAATGAAATGGACGGTAAAAGTGAAGAAGAACAATTTTATTTGATAAATAATTAAGCGACAATCATCGAAGTACTCTTTTCAAATTTATTAACCACCATTAGAACAAAACAACAACAACAACAAAATTTAACTTTATAGCACCTAGCAAATTTTAATCATAATTGATTCAGCCTTTTTTTTGGCAGATTATAAACTAATTATTACAGCATATGTGATTGGTGGAATGGTGTTTCTGAACGAAAATGACCATACGAATAAATCCATTTACTTACTCTTCCTTGATCCGCGGGAATATTATACATCTTCGCCGAAAAAAAAAATCACGCTTCATTTTTGCTCTCAGGCTGCCATCAAAATAATGTCATTGAAATCAATAAAAATGCAAATCACATCAAATAAATTAAATTAGAGTGCGATTTAACTCATTCAGACAATGTTAATCATTCAATATGGCGATTTTGAGAATCTCTTTTCCGTTTGAATGGGCACGCATATATAAATAGTTGTGCAAATAAATTTTCTTCTTGAATCACATTCTCATTGTACAGAGATTTGTTGGTTCTGAATCTACACAGACCATTGTACCAATAAAGCGCTTGGTTTGCATGAATTTTTCAACCGTACAATGTATTTGCAAATTACTTTTATTGTAGCAAATGTATTTCATTAGAAACTAAAAGAAGAATGTATTACAAAGATTATTAGTAGCGAAAAAAAACGAGACATTTCAGCAGCGCACGCAAATTGAGAGCAGTCAAGTTTTGCAGAAACGCCAAAATAATAAACATACAGACTATCGATCTGTGTTCAAAAGACACTGAAAAAGTCATATAGCATTTTTTGCATTTATTTTTCATTTTTTCTGATTTCTTTTTACTCGTAAAGCGGTTAAAATTGGCGACTCGATCATATAACTTTATTTTGATTATATTGATTTACCAAGTTTTTGGGCATCACCAATTTTACTCTGTCGCAGTTTCACTTGCACGTAGATACGAGTCTCAACATCAGAAGAAAAAACAACTAAGCGCACACATAGTTACATCTTTATTTTTATTTTGTTCTCAGTGCAAGAGAAAGAGAGAGAGAGAGACCGTATACGATGCATATAACACTGTCATATTATGGAAAAATACAAATGAAACCATATAATGTGGGATCGTTTTTGGATAAGTTTTACAAATGTGGACAAGCGACGGCAACTTCGACGACGTGACAATTTCAATACATACATTTTAACTTTTATAAATATATCTTACCTTCGTTGTAGTTTTTTTTGTCGCAAACGCGTTGATTCTCTTATCCAAATTGGCCACACAATCAAAAATTTTAACAAAATGATGGACGAAAAAATATCAGTAAAACTGTATGAATTGTTTCTATTAATATTCTAAGAAATGAACGCCTTTTCTAAATTAAATTAATTTTTTTTTTTTTTCAAATTGGAACTCTTAAATCAAAATTTATTTGAATCAAAAGCAAATTTTTATGCAAATTGCAACGAATTGATAGATACATTTTTTTTCATCTTCAAATCCTTTGTTGCCTATCCAAATTAGTGCATTTAGCCATGCACTTACAACGATTTTTATCTGTCCTTTACAAAAAAAAATATTTTATATGAGAAATTTAATTAATTTAGTGCTTGAAATTTTTGTGCCCGAAATAAATTTGAATTCAATTTTAATTTCTATGGTTGAATTTATTTTGTGATATAATAGTCTAATAGATCAACAACATACATTACAACAAACAAATGAGTTAATAGAAACAAATTCAAGTAAGAATAAAAAAGAAACAAGTAAAATACAAACAATTTGAATTGTTCAGTCGTTTTTTATTTGTTTTTAGATAATTGTCAGTTGCTGAGCAAAACATGGTAGAAAAACAAACGGTTTAAAACCGTTTTTGATTCAATCCCGCAAATTTTGCATTGAATCAAAAAGGACTGTTTGCTCAAAAGCATTGTTACATTTAAATATTTTGAAACATTAGTTTTTACGGTTGAGAAAAAACAACGTTAAATTTACAACAAAATTCAATTAGATGATTCAAACCGAAAATTATATCAATAAAAGTAGGAAATTACAGCGAACAACAAAAGTATCCTTAGGAATTTTCAATTTTCCTTTCGCGTATTGTGCCATTTTCTCCCATTTTCAAAACTGTTGTATAATAAACTGAAAACGACACAAAATTAAGAGAAAAAAAAATATATAACAGTCATCTATATAGAAAACCGAAACCAGAAAACAATAGAACATTTGTGACAATATTCGCTAGCATATAATAACCTTATTGAATCAGGCACATACCAAACGAAACTCAACAAAAAAAAAATAGATATCAATCGTTTTCTAAATAAAATCAGGATGTTGAGCAAGTGTTCAGCGATATTTTGCTTAAATTTTTTGATTAAAATTCTTATTAGAACTGGCCTATTCAGTGCCGATCAAAGGCACTCATTCGTGTTTTTTTTTTCATACAAAAAGTTCAATGTTACATGAACCGAAGCATCAACAAAGAAGAAGCTAAACCATGTATATGAATAGAATTTGACGTGAATAAACCATCTTAATAAATTAATATAGCAAAAGTCTTCATGTTAAATTTAAATTGCATCTCTGAAATTGCATACAAAAAAACATAAAAACAAAAACAAACAAACAAAAAGACAAATGACAAAAGTTATTTATGCTTAAATAAGAAAACCGATTGATTCGTGTCTCATTTGCTTGTGGGATCGTTCCAATGTTTTATCGCTTGTGTACGAACTCTATTACAACTGAACACACGAATCCATCGAAATAATAACAATAATGATAAATTAAAATTAAATTAAAAAAAAAAAACGAACGTCAAATCCACTGTAAAATCGAATGAAAGTAAATTATTCCAAATTAATATACATAATCATAATGAAACAATCAATAATAATATTTTAAAAATAATAAAATCATAATCATAGATCAAAATGTACGAGTTTTTTTTTTGTGTGTTAATGGAATCATGTTCGGGTCGTCAAGGTGAGTTTGCATGATTTCATATAGGTAAGCATTTCTAAATATTGGATCGTTCATGCTTACATGCAATCGATTAGCATATTGTTTGCACTGTTTTCAGAATCAACGCTTTCGCTGTTATTAATTTTGATCACTAGAATAGAAACAAATAGCAAAAGTAACTCATTGAAAATGTAAGCCAGCTTCATGTGAATATTATAAATTTTATGCCGATTTTGCTTGTGCTTAATTCGGCTCATTACTCATCATTCCACCTATGATGTCTGGATGGAACGACATTTCTATATACGTAGATTGTGCTTTTCCAATGATTTTTCAAGGTGAAAATATCATCTTCGGAACAATTGAATGATTTAAACAAAAAAACAATACGGCCGCACCAAATGGCACACGGCAGTTCCAACAACAGGATGATATGCAAAATTTTACTTTTCAGGTAAGACCATTCACTGATTTTTGTGCGATACAAATGACAGCACAATAAATTTTCTTTACTTTTGAATCATTTCAATTTAAATGATTCACATGAAAGTCTTTGCCGAAAATGCTGAATAATCGGGTTTTCTTTGTTTCGCTTGCTACATTTTGGTGAATGAAAAAAAAGAGTAACATGGATACAATATTTTTATAAATATTTAAAAAATCCTCAATTGTATTTAAATTTCATAATGATGATCGAGCTCCTTGGTTATTTTATCTCAGCAGTTTTTATTTTTGCGAAAAAAAAAAACACACACCAAAACCAGATTCATGATTTTAAGTTTTGGCAAAGTGTAAGATGTGGTTGACGCGGTTTATGCACCTTAAATTCAGGAGAATGAAACTGTACCTACTCGTAATGTGAGTTTTTATGTCATCTTCACATTTTTTTCTGCCCGCTTATGACACAAAAATAGAACGTATTTTTTTTCTTATTTGATCTCTCACTCAACAGAACACACACTGGTGCTGATTACACTTGAACATATGAGCAAATTTCATGGTCTAACGCGCTAAATTTGAATCATTTAATTGCATTCATATCTATTTGAATATGTAAGCCTGAATTGCACATCAACATTCAATTCTTTTTTCTCAATGATTTAATTTTATATAAATATTGTTCGAATTTACGATTATCCATAATAATATAAATGCACTACGTCATTTGTACTTGTATGTACTTGTTTTGAAAGGTGACAATATATGGTTGTTGCATCTAAGATGCATACATCGATCAATAGATTATTCAATCAACTCAAATAGTGATTCTTCTAGTGTTGTATGAATTAAATGAAATAAATTAGAAAAAAAAGCGCGTGTTTCCTCTTTAAAATGTGCGGTATATTTGATCTACTATCGCACGAAATAAAAATATTAAATTTTTATTACTACTGATCGCATCCACTCATACACCAAGCGATATGATCTGAACTAATTTCATTTGCGAGATAGTCGTTTTTGTTTGGGGTTGGTTTGCACGTATCTGAAATAAAAACGAATCGGTTTTCTAGATAAGCCCAAGTAGACACCAATAAATGCATTTCAATTAAGAAATTTTCATTTAACATGAAGTGAATGCTCGTTTGGTGAGATTGGAAAAAAAAGTAGCTAGCAATTAATATGAATAATATATGGTAATCTTGTCAGTTATGCATACATATGATTTGACTTTGCGTTTGGACTTGCTTGGAAACAGAAAAAAAATAGATGAAAAAAATCAACTATATTAACATACATTGCTCCGCGGCAATAAAAAAATCTCTCGCTGTGTGCAAATTAATCTTTACATATGTCTGTTCGTGTACACGCTCGCAAGCAGAGTTGTGAACAGCACACAAAAAAAAACGTCGCGTATGTCATTTGAATGAGAATGCTTGTGTTAGTCTTTTTTTTTTAGTACAAACGGTTTCAGTATTCGAACACTTAGTCTTTTGGCGAATCGAGTTTGGCTTTTTGTAGTAAGAAGCTCAATACATCTGTTATTTTTTTTAGTACCAACCAACACAATGTCAATTTTATTGAGTGAATCGCAATTTCGATGGGCTGCTAGAGCTTGTGCGCCAGTATATGTGCGTATCAGATGCAAACATATGTGCATGTCTATGTATGATTGACGTAATACCTCTTTTTTATACATAAATTCTAGCTACTTTTCGGTTTGCCTCTCTGTTTGGCTCGATGCTTTGGTCTCTTTCTGACTGCTACTGTTGCTAACCCTCCTTGTTCGTTTTCTTCTTCATTTTGCCAGCAAAGGCTCGTTTGAACAATTTTTTTTTTCTTCTTTTTTCAACCGTATACACACATTACCAAGCGAAACGTCAACGCATTGGAAGACACATGTGAAAAAGATTGGGTAAAGCGGCCATTTTTTGCATTTGTTCCAAAGCAAGTGGTACGTTTGTGCGGTGAATTGAATTTTGTGCTATACATATAGTAAAAAAACCAAAATTTACGACTTGAATTGAGTTTAAAAGTGATTTCCAATCAAAAAATTGGGCTGACATTATCGCCGCATACATTCAATTAAAATAGAAATTTTATTGCCATGGGGAATTAATATACACGAGTTTCGTTTTTATTTCATTCAACTGTGTTTCCTCCAAACTTATAAGCAAAATTCAATATAGAAGATCTTCTTCCTGTATGTTCATATATGTTTTTTTGTCACAAACACAAATAAAGCGAAAAACGCGTTTAGAACGCATACAACGATACATCAGACCCAGATCGACGAGTTGGAATACTTTGGTGTTTGCGTGCGCGTACATGTATATGTATACTGTGTAGTTTTTTTTTTGTCTTGCTGTGGTTCAATTGATATATTCACGCAACCCGTACGGAGTACGTGAGGAGAGCTAGAAAGGCATTGTGTCTGTGTGCGTTTACACCAATACGTTTGCGTATCTGTGCTAGTGATACATATGATTATCGTGTGATGGCAGTACAGCTGCTTAATTTCATACCGACTGTCCAAATGCGTATTTAGCTTTTTCTTCTTCACTGCTGAGAATATACATGGAATAAAAATTTGCAGAAAAAATGCATTGAAAAATCCAGAAAAAAAGTGATGAAACAGTTTTTTTTGTACATGAAATAATCAAATTAAATTTCGTATCAGAATTGTGGTGAATAAAGTGATTGTAGCTATCAAAAATTGTGAGTTTTTATGATTTGAAGAGAGCTGAAAAAAAGAAGAAGTAAGAACAAGAATAAAGTGAGGCGATACGTGATTGGATTAACTAATAAAGAAATTGGCTTTACACGAAATGTCAATAGTTGCAAGTGAATCAAATTCATTAAACAATTTGTCGGCTTCCACAAATAATAGTATTTCCTTGTCCAATGCTGAATGGTTCGTATAAATTAAATTTAATTCAATTCATATAGGTTTAGTACTTGAGAATTTTCTATGTGTTCAGAGCTTCGAGTGAGAGCACAAATGGGTGCATTTCATTTGTCATTCTTTTTACCTTTGTAATGACTAGCTCTGAATCTTTTAATTCTTTTGAATAAAAAATTAAACAAATAAATCGATGATTTTCGAAACGAAATTATAATTTCTTTTTTTTCTTCTCCTTCTCTCTCCGTTTTTCTCTCTTCCTTTGTGTGCATCGTTCATGATTGACATCATTAGGTATTGGGGAAATATTAGCAAAGATGAAGTGCGAGAAAAAATGTTGGGTTGCCCGGATGGGACGTTTTTGGTTCGTGATGCATCGAGCAAGTGCGGTGAATATACGTTGACACTAATCAAAGGTGGTAGCGAAAAGTTGGTAAAAATTTCTCATCAAAATGGCTTATATGGTTTCACAGAGCCGTACACATTTCCATCCGTTGTCGATTTGATCAACTATTATAGGAACGTATCTCTTAAACAATACAACATAATTTTAGATGTTAAATTACTATATCCAATATCGAAAACGAAAGAAAATGATGAAAATACGAATATTACCGATATTGATAAGTTGGCACAAAAATTTGTCGACACACACAAAAACTATGTGGCAAAAACGCAGGAGCTCAATCAATTTGTCCATGAATATGATAAAACCGAGAACGAACGAAATTTAAAACGGCAAGCGCACGACGCATTTCTAGAGGCGGTTGCAATGTTTGAACATCAAATCGATTTGAAAAATTCATATCTTAAACAGGCCCAACCGCATGAATACAATAGTGTTATGGAAAATTTCGATTTATTAAACGCTCGTTTGGATTCATTAAAAGATAGTAAAAAATTGCTTGAAGAAGATTTGAATAAGCAAAAACAAATGGTTTTGATGTTAGAACGTGAGATCAACAATATCAAGCCAGAACGTTCAATATTGGCACGCATGAAAGAGCGATACCAATCAAATTTAATGCGACGTGGTGTGAAAGAGGTGAAAATCAAGCAGCTCATCGAAGAAGGTTATTCAGCATGGACAAACAACGAAAACGACAGTGGATTGTCGCACAATGATCAATCGACATGGCTTCTAGCGAATGCAACTCGACAAGATGCCGAACGCTATTTGGCTGGTCTGCCGACCGGCACATTTCTCATACGTCCAAGTTCACATGGTCATTATGCATTGTCGATAGCCTGTAATGGTATTACAAATCATTGCATCATTTATGAAACGCCTAAAGGATTCGGTTTCGCAATTCCCTATAACACATTTTCATCGCTTTTATCGCTAGTTTTACATTATGCCGAAAGTTCATTGGAGGAACATAACGATTTATTAAATACAACGCTAAAATATCCTCTATTCTCATCGTACATTAGGAATTTACAAAAGCAAACGTCATCAAAACAAGATGATTATGTGGATGCATCGCCACCCGTTCGTGATTCGTAATTTGTAATTTTTTTTTGTAATTTCGTTAAATCGTTTTATTTTTTTTTACATTTATATATTATACATATATATATATATATACATAATAATAATGGCAATACCTATATGAGATAGGCGATTCTATGCCAAATCATACACATGATTAATTGATACACAAACACATTAAGAGGAAAACAAATTCGATTGAGTGACGAATTATAAATGATTAATTTGCCTATTCTGTGTTGTTCGCGCTTTATGGCCAGCAGCTATTGTATGGAGAGATCATTCGTTAATTCACGGTCATTTCTTTACGCACATAATATTTACATATATATGTATGACAAAAACAAACGCAGGACAAAAGAAAAAAAATCGAACACAACCCTTAACATACTCGGTTGATGTCATTTTTTAAAAAGGCAATGTATATGTATGGCACGGAAAGAAAAATCTAAAAATGAAGAAGAAAAATGAAATGTATGCTAAGCAGGAGAGTAAAACTAAAGAGAAATATTGAAGTCGATGTTGTATTCCAATCGCAATGGAATCATTATTATTATGTATGTTTCTATTTTTTATACGACAGAAAAATAAAATATCTATCTATTTGTACATGTAACATATAACAAACAATGTATAAAAAAGGTTTGGCCGATCGTCGATCGGATTGCGGAGCGGCGGCGATTGTAGAGCGATCCTGTTGCCTGTCAAGCACCATCAATCGATTGATGATTTGCCAAATACTCTGGATGTTAGTGTGATGTTAGAATATATGTGTGACATATGCATATAATGTTTAAATACAAGTTATAAGTCTTGAAATTTATACAAATATTGTAATATATTTAATCAATTTTTTTATACCAATCATAATGATGAAGATGATAAAGATTTGAGAATGTGAACAGCAAACAAAATATTTAAATGGAACACACACACACTATATTGGCAATGCGAGTAATAAAAACAAAAGAAAAACAGAAAAAGCAAAAGAAAAGGTGGAACAATCATTTCAATCAAGATCAAACGAAAGAAAAAATAAACAGAGGAAAACACGCATTTATGGAAAAATGTCATATTTATGGAATTTTGCATGAAAACAATGGATAACAAAACAGATCTATGAAAAAAAAAATACACGGAGCCATTTTCCTTGAGTGCTGAAGCCTTCATACTCGTTTTTTTAAAATTCTTTTTCATTCTTCTGTAAAAAAACTATTCGAGAAGAGAAAGACTAGTCGTTCATTCAGGCCGATTTAAATAACATTGGCACTTTTCTAAAAATGCATACAAAATAAACAATTACAACTGCAAATTGTAATCTAAAAATATATAAAACGTTGTAATGACTTCATGGCTTAATTCGATAGCACGTTTACAACAATGCCGCCCCGTTGTATTGTGATGCACAACAACGAACACCATCGACAATCGACATCATTTTAAACAGATAAATTCAATTTAATTCCAGGCCATTTAATTGTGTCGAAATTCATTTTCCATGAAGCATCATCGCTAAGTGATTTAATACAAATATCTACATCTATGACCGCATTTGAGTCAATCTTATTCAGTCAGGATGCAGACGTAAACATTTTGTTTTAAATGTGATAAACAATGTCTAGTTATAATGATCCATCGACCTTTTTTCGCAATTTTTCATCAACACCTTTTGCAGTTATTTTGAAAAAAACTTATAACAAGTGATCGACTCATTCGATCCAAATAAAAAAAAAATATATATATATAATTAATTGGAGTTTAATGAAAAATTCTACACATGTTGTGAGTCATTCCATTTCGATCGGGAATGCAAATGTAAACGAGATAGACATGCAAAAAAAATGTTGTTTCAAGAGAGAAAGAGGGAAAAAGAACGAAAAAATATTCAAAGTACACGCAAATTTATATTCGATCTTGAAAAAATGCAAGCAACTGTATTTTATATATTTTTATTCAAAATTCACCAAAACTTTAAAAAGAGGCAACTCTACATTAAAAATAGACTTGCATTTATAGCGTATTCGACGCAATATTATTTCGTTTCCGCTTTATCTTACAACATTTTGAAATGAACAAAACCGAAAGCTCAACGACCACTTAAAATATATATATGAAAAATAAATATAAAACCATTTTGAATATACATTTTTGCAAGCAAACGAATGAAACATCGAATTTTTTGTCCGCAAAAGAGAAACAATTACTCAATTTGACCAATCGAAAAAGAATGCCAGTGAATCAAATACAAACAAACAAATACTAATTTGGGTTTCCACAAAAGTCCATATCAACGAAATATAAATAATTTTAAAAAGAAAAGAATTAACTTCATTTTTGTAACGCAGCTAAAAGCAAACAATTTTTATAAAAATTATACGTGTTTAACTAGCTTTAGATGTAATCGATCACAAAACAAAAGAAAGAAGAAGAAGAAAAAAACTACTCAAATATGGGAATGAATACTTTGATAAATGATCAATAATAATAAATTAGCGATTCAGGGTTTTTGCAAATGCTTATGATGTTAATTGGTAACAGTCATTGAAAAAAATTTGTTCAAATTTGTTAAATACTTTCCAAAGTTGACCTCGTTCTTATCGTACACGTGTTCTATGCTTTTTACGAAACAATTCACTCCACAACCGATAACATTCAACAACACCAAATAAAATTTAATAATTATACATTTATACTACTTTTACACAATGTCCTTCTTTTAAAACGGGCCACAAGCATTTTAACATATATATATTTCAATTTTTGTTGTTTTCCACCATTTTTGTTTTTAAAATAAAATCAAATATCAATCAAAATAAATTACTCGCCAAATATATAAGTCAAGTAGATGATGAAAATGATAATATAACTTTCAATATAATCTTTTTAAAATTCTCTAATGATAAAGTAGTATTGTATTTTTCATAGTGGAATAGCAATTCATAAAAATCTAAATGTGAAAAATACGCAAAATAAAGTGATTTGGATTCATCTGTTCAGATGAAGACGTAGAGAGACATGTTTGCTTCTAATTATACGCCCTTTAAATGCTACCTCAAAAGGAAACAGATATGAAGATTATGGAAAAGAAACATCAAAATTATAAACTCCACAAATTGCACATATAACACACAAATTATTCAATTATTGTGAATGAACAAGATATTATTTGTAGTTGAAAAATGTAATGGAAAAAATGATAGAATCCACACAAAATTGTCCAATTTTCAAGACCCATCTGAATGTTTTGCTTGTTTTGTTTTTTGAAAAGTAAAAAAATTAAAAATACATAAATAATCGTGCACAAAAAAGAAAAAATTCTGTAATTTTCAACGATTTAATGGACTCAGATGTTGGAAAAGTAAGCACATACCCACATACACCATTTAGCAACTCATTGTTCTATGTTCCAACCGAAGTCACCAAATTTTTTTTTTTTTTTTCATCTCTTCTGAATTGCTTAAATAACATGTAATAGCTGATACGGTTCCATGCTCTGTTCCCATTTAATCAAACTGCAAATTATTAGAATACAAAAAGAAAATACTGTAGAAATTGTGATTGAATTGTACATCTTTAAGTAGTAATGTGAAGAATTAATTCTAATTCAAAGAAATTTTCTCTTTTTGTTTGGTATATGAATCATTTGTAGGATTTTGAATTTCAAGTCGGATTTTATGTCATAATAATTTTACTTCGAAACATTTAACATTTAATAGAAATTTCTAGAGAGTTTTCCGTGTTCAAATATACTATTCTGAAAAAATCATGTAAAATTGATTTGGGCTGATTGAAAACCTGAATAAACAACAAAAGAGGGAAATATCAAGTCATCCTTCTTCCCCAGATTTTACTAATAATTTTATACGATAATATTTTTTTACATTTATATTTGTTTAATCATTGAAAATATTGTGAAAAAAAAAACAAAACAAAAAAAAAAAACGATGCATAAAGAAGAACTAAACCGTTTAGCCCACTCAATACAACAGTGGATCAAATTTAAAATGTGGAATAAATGGAAGAATTGTTTTACCCGATGAAAACAAAAAAAAAATTACATCTGAGTCTTTTATTTGTTTGCTTTATTTTAGAATATTGAACAGCTGAGGTAAGTAACTAGTACAGATGGGGAACGGTGTAAAGGATTGAAAATTGGAGAAAACAAGATTAAAATGAAAATAAAAGAAAGAGAGTTTATTTTGGTTCGGAATTTTCCGCATGTTTATGCAATGCTGGCAACAGCGCCAATGCACTGCATACTTTCCTTTAAGAACCGAATATATTATGTAAAAACCTGCAACTCCACATCCTATATCGCATCGACAAATATAAATAAATGTGTGCAGAAAAACTGCACAGATGATTTTCATTGTTCCATACAGTTGTGCAGAATTCAATGCACGTTTGTACTGAGCATGTTTTTGGCAACTGTCATTTCCACTACATTCGGAGGAGAATATTGATCCATGCTCTTGAGCTGGAAAAAATGCTGCAATCTCGCAATTCCAGTTTTGTTGGCTCGAACGAAAGGTAATAGATTTACATTTTTCATTTGAAAAACAAATTTCTATATTCGTATTGTAGTGGCTTATTGTGATATTTAACTTGAAGCTAACAATTTTTGTTTGTTTTTAAAGTAGTTTGAACGTTATTATAGATGAAAACATAAGATTCGATTCTCTTTTTTTAAGTTTTTCTTTTGTTATGCGGACAGTACAATAATAACATATGCATATTTACTTAGTTTTCTATGATTAACATCAAATATCAAAATTAAATAGAAGTATCCATTGAAACGGTTAAGGTGTGAGAAGTTGCAGCTGCTCAAAGTGTGTTTACATTTCATTTGGTGTTACTTTTGAGCTGTTGAATACAACAAAAGAGAATTAAAAAATATGAATAACTCTGCTGCGTTGGCTGATGTTCAAGCACTGGTAAGCTAAGTTGCTGTAACAATTTGACCACTTTAAATGATGCTACTGTTTGAGATGACTTTTCACCATTTGACAAGTGTCACTTCAGTTCGCTTTATTTGCTTTTCTTTTTATACATTGTTAACATAACAAATATTTTATGTATACACATAATTAAATATGCGCAAATAAACATTTAGAAAACTCAGATGACTAAAATTGAACACATTTTGGGTCATATTTCGGAGAAGATGAACTCAGTTCAACCAACAACAACGGCAACAGCCGATGTTAGAGCTCTGGTAATTGTTGTCCAATGCATTACTAAATTAGATCATAAAATTCTTCTAATTACAATGAAATTAATTGTACATATTCGTTATTATGCAACACATAGAAAGTACAAATCGACAGGATGGAATGCATGGTTGACGGAATGAAGAAAGCGCCAACAAAACGGGGTTCAGCACGTTCATGATGCCACAAGTAGAATATTGCGTAAGTTTTTCGACCCGAGATAATTGTTTTGTTGTCTTTCATTTAAAAATTCTTTAAAGAAAACTCATTTTATTCTTCAGAAATAAACGAGTAAATACAAGTATCCGTCAAACGCTACAAGTTGGCTACAAGTTGATAATAAGTTAACTCAAACTGCCATTTGGAATTTCAACGCTATATATAGAAAAATTTATTGAAAAATGATAAGTCGATTCCACAGGCAAAATGTAAACTTTGAAATGATTAAAATCAAATAATAAATATAAATAAAACACAAATATATGTTCTCCAATTAGAATCAAAGAATACTTTTTTTATTACATTTTCATTCTTAAAATCAAATGGAATTCTCTATGGAAATCACAATCGAATTGTCTGTCAAAAATTATTTTTTTTTTTTGTAGGATCAATTGTTTGTAACTTTATTTTATGTTTGTTTAAAAAAAATATACTCCTTATTGTGTCTCTCTTTAGATAGACAACAATATTAATTGATTTCGGTGGAAAAAAAATAATTATTTAAAAAAGAAAGATTGCAATTATTATGAAAGAAAACTAAAGTTCAACACAACCGATGAATGAATGTAAATCATTCTGAAGTGCTTTGAAAATGCAAAATAAAAATGCTGGAATTGAATCTACAATTCGGTGTGCAATGAACCACAGTCGGCAATTGCGACTTCCTTCTTTGGTCGATCGTTTGAAGTGGTTGGTTGGCTTTCAATTTTGCGAATGATGTCCATGCCTTCGACAACTTCACCGAATACGACGTGACGGCCATCCAACCATGGTGTCAACACGGTGGTAACAAAGAATTGCGAACCATTTGTGTCTTTGCCAGCATTGGCCATACTCAAGAGACCAACTTTGTCGTGCTTCAACAAGAAGTTTTCGTCAGCAAATCGAGCACCGTAGATTGAGCGTCTGAATAAAGAAATTAAATGTTCAACAATGAAAAGAAAAATCTTCAATTAAATGTAACAAAAGAGATACCTACCCGCCAGTACCATCTCCAGCTGTGAAATCACCACCTTGGATCATAAAGTCTTTGATCACACGATGGAATTTGCTACCTTTGAATCTATTTGACAAATGAAATAAAAACAATTCCACAAATTATGGCATATTAGAGATTTATTTATTTAAAAAAAAAAATGGTTTATTTACCCGTCTCCTTGTGGTTTTTCACATAATTCCTTGAAATTACGTGCAGTTTTTGGTACAACATTGCCAAATAGACCGAATACAACGCGTCCAGCCGACTCTCCGCCGATGGTGATATCAAAATAGACCTAAATAAATTGAATAAATGCCATTGTTCGTCAGACAGGAAATGTAATTTGATTTCTGTATTCAGATTAGCTATGACCGCTGTGATGTTGTCACAAGTGGTTTAAAAGCGAGTATAACTGGATTTATGTGACGTCATAAAAGAAATAACATAAATCAGTGAACCCTCTAATTAAATACGAACAAAATAAATTCAAGGAAAATAAAAAATTCTTTTGTTAAAAATTATTTAGTCTGCTAATAATTGACCACAGATAGATATATATTATTTGAACAATGCAAATTAACATAATCAGATTCTAGAGTACACGTATACCAATACAGTAGTTGTTTTTTTTGTTTGTTGCTTACGTACCTTGTCGGTGATTGTTCTATCGGGAGTCAAACCGAATGCTACACCGACCACCATCAAAAATGCGAAAATTTCCTTTTGCATCTTTTCTCGTTTTATTGATAACAAAAGAAAAAGATTCGATTTGAGAGAAAAATTATAAGAAAACAAAAATAACTTGAATTGTAACACCGGCGCGAGATCACTGAACTGTGATAACGTTGTTTCAATTGAATGAAATGTTAAAAAAGCATCCGGCACGTTGAATGTTTTTCAGTGGAATAAAATACAATGCCGAAAAAATTGTGATGGCTTCAGCGATTATGATGATCGTATGATGTTTTGTTTGTATTGAGAACGCCGATGTGTTGTCACTGCTAGCGTATAAAAATTATTAGAGCGACAGAGACGAATATCTAATCAAGTCTTCTCATATAGAATCAAGCATTTGAACAAAGAAACATTGTGATGTTGAATACTCATTGGGCATTGGCACTGTGATTCAAGCGATGTGATACAGGTGGCACTAGCGTATCATCGCCAAACGTTTATTTCTCTGTATTTGTCAATCCATTTATATTTTTTTGCATACTCATATCACCTTGAATACACGGTTCAATTTGAGGTTAGGTACCATCGTTTTTTTTCTTCACCACACCAAATGTACATAAATGGCAATATAATATATATTTTTTTATCTTGTTTATAGAAGTGGTTTTTATTTCCCATCAATTATGCAAATAGAAATAATAATCCAATCGACTGAATGTCATGCCATCACTGTCCAAAGTCAAAGAATAACAAATAAAACGAATCCAATTCCCAAATAATTTTCATGCAATCCATTTTTTGTATATTTTTTTTTTTGGTTTTTATTTTTATTAAATTACTAAATTGTGGCAACTTATCATACAATGGAATTATAATAATTATTATAATATTTTTTTTAGTTTGGAATTTTTCTTTCTTTTCATAAAAAAAAGTGTTCTAAGTTTATCGATTTGATTTTCGGAATTAGGTTTCATTAAATTTTTTTCCATGTGGAAATGTTTTTTTTTGTTTCGAATCGCTTAATTTCGATAAACTGGAAATTAATTTAATATTTGCGGCAAAAAGAAGCCGCAATTGTATATTATTTATGATCATATTTTCTTTCAAAGTAACCATGATTACGGTTTAGTATTTCTGTGTGCGGTATATATTGTGTTTATGCTTCGACACAGCCATACGGTGTTCCAGATGCGCTTAGTCTTGACTTGTTTCATCATCAGATCCATCATCTTCGGTTGCAGCAGCGGCTGGCTTTTCTTTGATGGCAACATCCTCGAAATTTTCCACCAATTCGGGAACATCATCGTCGTCATTCAATTTCTTGTTGGAAACGATGTCATTGGCAATTTTCTTGAGTTGCATCAAACCCTCTGGTCCAAGTTGTGTCAAAATGCCCGGCAACATTTCGGAAATGTTCTTGGTTTCACCGTTGCCAGTAATTGCAAATGTATTTGTGGCCAACGATGCTTGAGCCTTTGGATTATTGAAATGAATAACGGTGCCATCGTTTTTGATGATATTCACTTCTTCAATTCCCGGAATCGTGTTCACAGACAATTTTTTTAACGATGATTGTAATTTTTTATCATCGGTAGCTGGTGTTTGATGGATAACCTTCTTCTTTCGGCGAGGTGTACCTTTACCCCCGATACGCACTTGTTCTTGTAATTTCTTCAACTTTTCTGGATTCATGGTGTGGCGAATGTTTAAGCGTTCAATGTCTTAACAAAAATGATCTACCGACAGATAAATCGATGTTACTTACGCTAGCAATTGTTTAAAAATAAAACACGTGCAAATTGTTCTAGTGGTTTGCACAACTGTCAATGTCATTGTGTGAACTTCTGGATGGTACGCCATATTGAACATTGACTCCAGCGCCGTGTTTAATCGCTGGAATTATCATATACAATCGGCTATTCGAACACGCACAAACACACACATATATGAATAATACATTTTTAGATTTTTTTCTTATTCAAGCAAATCGATTTTAATCTAATGATAATGTACAATTTTTTTACCATATATGTTGAGAACATTTTTTGTTAAACATTATTTTTATTCGATTTTGTCTATTAATTTAAGTTAACTGTTCATCACACTGTCAAGCGAATTTGAACTGGAATCGTGAATTGTACGCAGCCCAAAATAGATGAATCTGTGTGCCGAGTATGTGTAAAATGATTTTCCAAAATATAAATAAGATTGCACTTATTCAAAACAAATGATTTTTCAATTTGATTGTGATTTTGTTTGGGCCTGCGATATTTGTCGGTAGCATTGTAATGTAAAGTCAAACCTGAAAACTGTTTGCAGAATAGTCATGCATTGTTATCGATACATTTTTGTCTATTAAATCAAAAAATGAAAAATATTCTGATTTTCACAATGTGGGAATAATTTTTTTTTCTAAACCTTTATTTAATTTCAATTGATAAATTAACAATATTTAAAAGTCAAACTTCAAAAAGTTTGCAGAGTTCATTTTCCATTCTTTTCTTCTGGTAGGTCTTCAACTCTTAGGTAGCGTGTATTTTTTCAATCGATAGAGCAGACACGCCTGATTGTTTTATATCCGTATAAACGCCAGCAAAAATTTGGATACCAAATGAAGTAATACGTGCTAAATCCAAAGGTTCAGCGTCTTTAACTTCTTGACCTCTAAAATAGGCTTTAAAATCGGCAAATGATAGATCATAATCATCAAATTCGACATTCGACAATGGAACCTTTAATTTAAACCGCATATTTTAAATAAAAGTGTAAGAAATGAAATTAATTTTGAATTGAACGTACTTGGAAAAATTGTTCATAAGTTATGGTGTCCGTGCCATGCCCTTTATGATTGAGCACGATTTTATAATGCTCATTTTGACCTTGTGACTTGCATCTAATTGTGATATTTTTGTAATCAGTTAGATTTAAATCGACCACGGTTTTTACTCCGGCAAAGCCGGCATGTTGTGGCTGCAATGGATTCAATACCGTAAAGAAAATTGCGTTTTGGAATAATTGAGTCTTTTGCAAACTCAATACAGCTTTTGAACTTCCACCTCGCCGCACTGTGTCAGACACTTCAATCCAATTATTCACAGATTCGGTTTTTGTGAAATCGAAAAGCGTCAACATTTTGCTGAAATAAATTAACATTTAGTAGAATTTAATTGACTGATTTTTGAACATTCATTCATGGAAAATTAATTCGTAATCTAAATTACTTGTACAACCAAGTGAATAACTTGAAGTCATACAGTTTAATATTGTTGGATATTCTTTGATATCAGTTGATACAGTTTTTCTTTTTTTTAATTAACTTTTACCTTTCACTTGATCGAACAGCTTTAAAGCAACCGCTAGCGAAGAAAAAAAAGTACAGTAAAAATTGCTTAAATTTTAACGCAGTCATATTCCTGAAAAATAAATAACCAACAATGATTTAGAGCTGGTACAAATCAAAAGGAGACTTCTCTCTATACAAATATCAAACGATGCTAAAATAAATTATAGTTCTCTATAAGAAAATCGGTTATTTGCTGTTACGGTAATCTAAAGAAACGTAATAGAAGTTTTAGTTTTTACGATTTTACCGAAAAATTACACTATAGTATTTCCTATATCTATCCTTGTTTGCCAAATACAAATCCATTGAATACATCGAGAAGAGAGTATGTTATTCAGCGCTTATAGCTGAGTAATGTCTGAATAAAAACATACTCTCCTCTGGATATTTTCAATAGAAATAACAAATACAAAATTAGTATTACTTCGTGACAACGTTTTACGACTATTATCTTTTGAAATCATCTTCCGATTAGATTTTATTGCTAGATTTTTATTCACATAGTTTCCAGTTTTTAACCAAAACCAATGTCAAATTTCTATGTAGGAAAACAATTTTCAATAATCATATTTTTTCATGATAAGATACATTCAATAAAAATGGTAAATAGTGCTGAATATAATAGCAAACTGTGCATACTGCATAGTTATCTTTTTTTGCCCAAATTTTTGTTATAGGTCTATAAATGTTCAGTGCTAGAGCGAAAAATATTTATAAAAATTTGATATCACTCACATTAAAAAAGTTTTAAAACTAAAGCACGTTCAAACCGATCCGACGATTTTTAAAAAAGCAACTGTCAATGTCAATTGTCACCACTGATACGCCATCGTAAATGTTACTAATGATTTCAATGCTTTATCCATTCATTGTTGGAAATATGAAATACATCAGCAATTTGAAATACATATGTATTTTTGGATGAACAGAAATGAACACATTCTAGACAAATCGAATTCCCATTCTGAAGCAAAAACGAATAAACAAGTTTAATTTTTTTTTTAACAAATAGATAAAAAAAAACATTGGAAATATTGTTGCCGACAAATTCTTATTCGATTTTTAATTTCAATTTAATTATACCGTTCATGACATCGACAAACTAATTTGAACGGTCATAGTATGCAGCCAAAAATAGTGTAGTCTGTGTGTATGTGATGAGTATGTGTGGAAAGACTTTCCAAAAATATGAATAAGCGATTGACAACTTCATTTCTATGAAATAAGAAATAAACTAGTTTCGTCATACATTTGATGAATTTATTAGAAACAAACTATTTTTTTTTTGAGTTTATTGTGATTTTTGTTTGCGATAATTTTAACTGTCACCTCAATCACATTTGGTGTGCTAAAAAACTTTGAACATCACAAGAAAGCTGTACACAAACGATAAAGTGCTTATAGATTAGTGAATTTGCGAATTTATTTATTGAAGTGTAAGTGACATTTAAACCGAATGTGTCCACTTTTATTTGATACTTGTGTGCAATTTTTTTTTCTCTTGTCATTGAGAAAAACATGATCATTCTAGCACATTCCGTACATACATCAAATACTTAATATCAATATTGTTTACAACACCAATTTTGTATTTTTATTTTTTTTTATTTTTTTTTTTAAACATTAAAACAGCATACAAAAATGGATAGTGATACTCAAATCGAAACAAAACCAATCGAAATCACCAATGAGCCAGAGACTAAAGAGGAAAATAAAAAAGTCGAAAACAGAGAAAGTTCCGAACAAAGCAATGTAATAGACGTTATCGGTAATGGTCAATTGGTGAAAAAGGTATGTAAAATTTGGTGCGAGGTACACACACTGATTGCATATTTGTTCATAAATTCGAATAAATTTTTATTTACAGGCGATAAAAGTGGGCGAAGATGATTATAAACCACAACGAGGAAATATTTGCAAAATCAATTTGATTGGTAAATTGGAAGATGGCACAATTGTTGAAGAATTCAAAAATTATGCAGTTCAAGTTGGTGATGTTGAGGTGGTGCAAGGTGTTGATATGTCACTTCCACTAATGACTGTTGGTGAATTGGCCGAAATCACATGCGATCCACGTTTTGCATACGGTGCACAAGGTTTAACGAACGAAAATGACAATACAAAAAATATTCCAGCAAATGCAAAGGTATATAAAAATCGAATTCATTCATTTTGGTTCGATAAAATATTTTACCGATTTTACAATCAAATTAGGTAATTTATAATGTGGAATTGCTCGAGTGTCACGACGAAGACGATCTCGAGAATGTTCCATACGCATCTAGACAATCAATCGGGTAACTAAACATGAGCATTTGGATTGAATTTGGTGTTTCATTTAATTTAATTGATTTTCGATGCATTTAGCAATCACAAACGTGAACGAGGGAATTTTTGGTACGATCGAGCTGAATACAATTTGGCTATTCAACTATATCGCCGATCGTTAGAATACTTAGATGACACCGATAAATATGTTGGTGATAACTCGAAAATGGATGAGGTAATATGCATTTAAATCAATATGACTTCGATAAAATGTTCAATAGATTTTTTCGATTTTAGTTTACAAATGATCAGTTGCAAGAATTGTTGGAGACTCGTGTAAAAGTATACAATAATTTGGCAGCTGCTCAAATGAAAATATCGGCATTCGATGTGGCACTCGTATCCGTGGACAATGTACTACGATGTCAACCAGAAAATGTGAAAGCACTCTTCCGAAAGGGAAAGGTTTGTACTTATCTTTTAACTAGTACAATTTTTGTTGTTGTTGCTGTTGAACATTAATTGATGCTTTCATATAGATTTTGGAGGCCAAAGGCGATATTAAGGCTGCAATTCCAGTTTTACAAAAGGCTGCTATTCTTGACGCAGATAGTCGGGCAATTCAACAGGTAATTTCATCAACCGAATCATTTCAATACTGTAAACCGTTTATAGCTAATCGATGTGAATGTGAAAATTTACAGTTACTCTCAAAGTGCATAATGAAGTCTCGTCGCGAGGCGCGTAATGAAAAGGACATGTACCAAAAAATGTTCAATCAAACGCAAAAATTGGAATCGAAAGGAAAACATTCCAAAACATCAGGAGATCAGGATATGCCAAAAGTAAGATACTATTCACTCTATGGCTAAAATTGAATCGTATCATAAAATGTCTTATTTTTTCAGTTCAAACTCTGGGGTTACTTAGGTTCAATTCTAATCGTTGTGGCTGGCGTGGCAATTTATCGTTACAAATATTTTTAAGAAATTCATCGATTCATCATACAATTGAAAACTTTTATAAACAAAAACATCATATGTAATAACATTTAATGCCAAGAATTTAGTTAACAAAGTTTATCGCAGATAAAATCCGCATGAAACCGATTTATTTAAACATTTTAAGTTAAATGTGGAAATGGAAATTATATCACAACAAAAAAAAATCTTTCTTTCCCTGTTTATTGAGTATAAAATTACCGTTAAAATTTATTATTATTATTATTATTTTTTTGTTCATCGATGAAAAACAAAGTGTCTAAAAGTGACGTAAAATAAATATCAAAATGGTCTAGGAAATTTAAAGCACGTTTGTCAAACAAATTAAATGTGGATTTAACAAACAAATACATGAAGTTTTATTATTTTAAAATTAACTCATAATAATATCAATTTACGCAGCAGACACCATTTTTTTCACTTATCCTAATATATTCATATAAATGATTTTAAATCTGATTTTTTAAACGAGTGAAAAGATCGGCGAGATATGTGATTTCGTCTGAAAACTGTTCCAGGTTTACGTTTGGTTCCGTCTTCGTGGAATGCTCTAGCTTTTGTGCTTCCAAAATTATTTGATCTATACTTCTTTTAATCCAAGCACTTTGATTCAAACAGGATTCGTGTGATGCACAGCCAAATTCACGATTGACTTGTAGTATTTGCTGAACGTATTCCAAAGATTCGGTGGTGGAAATCGACATTTGACATTGACTGTTGCCATTCTGCGTTCCATTTTCAATGAGCCTTCTCATTCTGACTTGTGTTAGGTCGTCCGTGCCTTCGAATTCGCTTAGTTCCATCGAAGCATTGGTTGACCATTGAGCGAGTGCAATCAATTCAAGTACATAGAATTTTTGCACTTCGGACGAATCAGAATAGTCAATCTCCACTGTGCTATTCTTGCATAGGTATTTTTGCCATAGCAAAATTTTAATCACACTGGACAGTAAAATTTGAACATTTCTCGTTTTGGATCTGGATAAGGCATCGATCAGAGAACTCGTGAGAGACGCATCATTTAGAATGCTCAACAAATGCGGTGATGCTGGTTGCTGGAAATTTGAAAATGCAGCCATCTGAAAGTGAAAACTGCATTAATCTATACATTCGAAAATGGTGAGTACGTGATCTTTTTATCTAAACTTTTGATCGCTACAAATAAGGGCATTTAGATTTTATGGAGGAATTTTCAAATTATCACAAGGAATTGCAATTTAATGATAATATTACCAGTTCGTTACACTCGTTGCTTGACACAATCTCACTTTTTGGATTAAGTTTGTTCATGGTTTGCTTTATTTTATTTATAGTCTCTTGAGCGTATCGCTGCAATTTGGTAGCTTGAACATCAGCGATACCATCAAAACATAATAAGGGTAATGGTGGCAAATCATCCTGCGTTTGGTCGCAAAGTATTTGCGATCGTTCTGATTCAGACACCAAGTTCAGTGTATGCTTTAACAGTTTTTGAACTATAACACATGATGGATTTCGTGGCATCGCCGAAAAATTACGACTGATACTCATCCAGAGTTTACAATACAAAAGTAGCGTTTCTTTTGATACATATCTGTGATAACATTAAAAATGTCATTAGTCATCTGAAAACGGTTGTTTAAAATAGATGATGAATGAAATTATTTTGAATACCGAAGAAATTGCGTCCAAATGTCCAGTATAATGGGTATGTGGAAAACGGCATCATCCATCAATGTTGCTTCAACGAGAATATATTCCAAAGATATGTCTGTTTGTTGATTCATCGTTGTCACCATTAGCATTGTGCACAAAACTAAGAGTTTATCATAGAGATGACTGAACCTGTATAGCTGATGCATTTCTGAAAGAAAAATCCATTCAAAATATTTCAAATAGATTGGTTTTACAGGCGGCTTACCTTTGGAAATACAATCGAAAAGCAAATGGTATAGTATATTTCTATGGAGATTTTCATGGTTTAAATACCAATCACTTGATGTGATGGATGACTGTATTAAGAGTTTTGTGACTTCCAAACAAACTCGCATATGATCGCCAGTATAGTTTTCAAGTAATTCATTGGAAAATCGATCACAATTAAATACATTTGATAAAATACTTGAAAGTCCAGTGATCAACGTTAGTAAATGATTTTTCACGTCATCATCGTCACATTTTTCACTGTAAAATGCAAAAAAAAAAACGTCAAAGAAATTAAAGGATCGTGCAAAAATATTAAATACATACGAAATATTATCAATCATCTGATAAAGTTTGATGAAATGGCTTTGACCTCGGAAATCTTCGTTTGCATACTCTTTTGCTAAATTATCCAAAAGCTTGACATAGAAATTGGCAAGCTTCGTTACATTTTGTTTCTTCTCTTTGAAGTTTGGCTAAAAATTATCATAAAAATCAATTTTCAACGGAAAAATGGAAATATTTGATTCTATTTTACATTAACCGCTTTATCCACATTGCATGTAATCAAATTGCAAAGAATCTGCACATAAAATGCAATCCAGTCCAAAGGATCGCCCTCGCTTTCATCGATGTCCAATAAATTCTGCTCGTGAAGTGATCGATAGATGGGATGAAAAGCCATAGCAAACTTTGACACATGCTTCCATGTGTTGGCCATTGATTTCAAATCATCTCGTTGAGATTGCTGATATCCAAGCTCAACTAATCCTTGCAATACTTTTTATGGAAAATATTAAAATTTTATTTTTACAAACAAAAAAAATTAATATTTTAAATTACCACTTCGACCATTTTTCAATTCATCCACTGTGACATTCGGTTCAAATTTCGGTGATACCAATATTTTATTGATCGACTCTTGCATCATATTTAGCAATTTATTTATCGGATCGTGACTGTAGAAATGAGTTTTTTTTTGAGTGACATTTCGGAAAGAATAAAATTATATATATAAAAAAATTGATTTTACCTGTAGAGAAAAGTGTGTGATATTGTTTTGCACAAAAAATGAAGCGTATTCGTCAAAATAAGATGAATATCGGTTATACAAAATACGATAATTTCATCGAATTTCTCGTGGACACTCTGTGACAATTCCATGAACAGTTGAAGGATGGTTTGAATTACGTCTGGAAGTTCTTCGACAATTGCCTAAAATAAAAAATAAAAATACATTGAAGTTTTCGATGGTTGGTGTGGTAATTTTTCGAATCTATACATCATCGAACGATTTCCTGAGGATTGGTAGAATTTGCCGGAAAATGAATTCATTGATTTCAATCAGGGATAAAATACTGGTAAACCGAGTAAATGCAAATTCAAATACTGAACATGTATCACCGTCATCGTTTAAAGCTGCGTGTTTTGGAAAATGAATGAATTAAGGAAAATAATATATGAAATTTTCTTAAAAATTTTCTAAAAAAAAACTCAACAACGCACATATTTTATGTGATTATCGATAATTAGTTTGAAAAAGGATATTTGAACACAATCTACAATTTGTTGATTCGATAAGTTTTGCAATTCTTCCGTAGATAAGCTTAGTATTGATGTAAAATTCATGTTTATATCAAAAATTATAATTGTTTTGGACGCCACACAAATGCTTCGAATATTTTCAATTTTAAATCAGAACCCAAGCGACAGATAAATTTAGCGCTTAAATTCAATGACAGCAGCTGTCAAATTTCATTCAACAACAGTATGGTGACATATTTGTTATTTGTTTACACGTGCTTGCTAACTCGCGTGTTGTTACATGCATTTGTTTGACGGTAACTGTGTGAAATATAAAGGAAACTCTAGTCAAAATGAGCAGTTCTGATGAGGATCAACCGAACGAAATCGATTGTGACACATGCAATACAAGCGAATTGAGTAAATTGTTTGGTGAATCGCTGAGGATAACGAGCGAAGAAGCAATTTCTCTACAAAAAGATTATGTTCTATACTTAGATAATTCAAGGTAATGTAATTTTTTTCTGATTTCATCATTCAAATTGATAATTGTGACGATTGCATAAAAATGTCCATTCCAGAGATTTTGGTCGAATAGCTGCGTCCACGTCCAGCAATTCGGTGCATTTGTTCGATTTGAATAGTGACAAAGGATTTACACAGATCCAACGATGTGACATCGATTCAATAAACTACACTGAAGACCAAACAATTTGTGGCATTCGTTTTGGTAAAGAAGATGTGAATACACTCCTTGTAGCTGCTGCACATGGAAAAGTGTATAGATATGATTTGCGATCGAAGCCGATGCCCGTACAAACATTTGAAAATGTCGATGCAAACCAAAAACCATTTATGTGCTTTGATGTGAATGCAGACGATTCAGTGCTTAGCATTGGCACCGAACAACACGAAGGCGAAGCAAATTTGCTATTGTTTGATGTAAGAAAAGTATCATCATTAGCCGTTTATTCCGATAGCCATCGTGATGATTTGACGCAAATTCATTTTCATCCAAGTAAATCAAATATTTTGGCATCGGGATCTGTCGATGGTCTTATAAATGTATTCAATATTTTGGAATCCAATGAAGACGATGCGCTCGAAAATAGTTTAAATACAGAGAGTAGCATTCAAACAATTAACTGGCATCCAAAGGTGATTATGCAAATTGACGATGAAGTTGCTGGCGATTTTATCAGTTGTATCACACACACAAACGATTTTCAACTGTTTGATGTTGATGAATGCGAACAAATATTCGAATGTGAACGGAAAAAAATCACAAAACTAATCAAACGCTCGTCAGTTAGTGATTGCTATCTGATCAACTGTCATACAACGGCATTTGGTGATATTATTTTGTTGGCCGGATCGAATTTCAATGGTGGCGAATGTCTTCGGAGTCTTACGTTACATGAAAAATCATTTAAACCACGAAACAATTTCACTGACAATAAACAAATCATACGTTGTAGCGTCTTTAATCCAAAGGTACATTCGATTTCGCATTTTGTAATAGACTTTTTTTTGGAATATTGTTATCACTTTATTGATTTTCTTCCATAAAACATAGGACAATACACTAATTACTGGTGGAGAAGGAGGCATCGTAACTGTATGGGGTGATTGGCAGCCTAAAAACATCGACACACACAAACTGAAAGAAAAGGTGACGACGAAGAAAAATCGCAAATCAACACCATATTGAAATATTATCAATATTATTCAATTTTAATTAATAAATGATTTTAACTGAAAAAAAAAACAATTCTTTTTTTATACAACTTCCTTCTGATTTTACAGCATCATCGACGAATTTTAAGCACTGACTGTTTCTCAGAGCAATGTACATCCTTACAGAGCACCAAGTATAGCGCAAAAATATCAAAAGTTCAAAAAATTATTCAAATTGATAATAGTATTATTGGTCTGAGAAACCGTCTCTGATTGATAAGAAAACACAAAATTTATATAACGTTTTGCTGCTTTATTTCAAATAATATAAAATGTTCATTTGTTTTCTGTTTTTAACAAATAGAAATCAAATACATATTAATTTCTAAATAGAACCATTCGGACTAGTTGATTCGAATTTAGAAAATGAAACAATGTGCATTTAATTAAAATTGTAAAAAAATAGACGAGAGACGAACGTAAATAGATAAATAAATCATGTTTAAATTTTATCTAATAATTCATACGGTGTTTGGTTATGGTTTCATTTGAATTTGAATCGAAAACAATGCTCGAACATTCTGCAAATTTGAAGTCATGTTTCGTGATTTAACAAAAAAGAAAAATGTTGTCATCTATATTTCGACGGTAAAATGTACATTTTTTTTTTCAAATTGATATTCATTTTGATTGGTTATTGAATTTTCAATGAATCTAACTTCATTTCAATGAGATATTTCTTCTTTCATTATTACATTTTGTTGCTAGAAAATCACCGATACTTTACGTTGTTGCACTTTGAACAAATAAAAAATAATCGATTTAAATATTTCGGCGATATTCTTTAGGTATTTAGTGGATTTCGATTTTCATTTTTGCGCATATCTAATTCGTAATCAATATGAATTATACATGGTGTTTTTTTTTTGCCTTTTTCAATGTTTAAATAATTAGATAACATTCAGCACTTTAAAAAATTGTGTTGTTGTTGTGTTTTTTCTTCTTTTGTATTTTACATGAAATCATCGTAATCGTAGGATTCGTATGTTCCGTATTCCTTCATGTTAGCCTACAAAAAACAAAAACAAAAAAAAAGAAACATTATTAGTTGTGCATCTAATAAAATAAAACGAAAACATTTTTCATTGTGGTGATCACTATACTCACATTATCCGTTTCGATGCGAAGATTTACTTTTGTTTTTCCTTTGCTTCCTTTTTTACTTTTTTCCTTTTCCAATTTTTGCTTTTCTGTATACAAATTGTCTACGGTCTTTTTGATTTTTTGCAAATCGCTTGATCCCACTGTACACAACAAAACAAATGAACTCATTATCCATCGAATGATTTCAATTGATCAAAAAAATAATGAAAATACTTACAATTAACGCATACATTCCGTACGAGCTCTTCGAGAAAACCGGGAAAGTCGACTAAGTGTTTGTATTGGCTAACCTTTTTGCTGATTGCATCAGCAAGTTCACTAAGTTCTGTTTTATTTTTCGGTTGAATTGCATCGATGCCACTTTTGTCGGTGACACCGAATGTGTCCATTGCCGCACGCAGATCAGCTTCTTCTTGAATTTTTTGTAACCGCAATTTTTCCGCTAATTTTTCTTCGGGTGTCATGTTTTCCTCTCGTTCGCGTGCCTTTCTCTCCTCTTCTTCTTGTTTCAATCGCTAAAATGACATATTTCATTATTAATTGCATTCATGACAAAATGTTCAATGAAAAATATAAAACTCACCTCTCGTTCGGCAATTTTTTTACTTAGGTTCTTTTGTGGTTTTGTTTTCTTAACCACTTGAGCTTCACCATCTTCACCTTTCTTTTCTTCTTCCTTTTGCTCTTCTTCGTCTTCATCTTCCCAGCTATCCTGTTAACAAAGATGAATACAATTCTGTAATTAGTAAGATGTTTTGGCCAAAAATAACGCAATCTAAATAAATGACGCACGTCAGTTAAATCTCGATTGGATAGATTTCTTAGATGTCTTCAAATTTGGGTCAATGAAAGTGATGAAATGTATATGATTTGAATATCGATATGCACTCAATGAAAAGTGAAAACATTATTCATAAAAATCAGTTAACATAACCTATAACTAGCACCTGTGCCATTGTATACGATCATACATATAAACTTCAAGAAAAAAAAAGTAAAAGTTGAACGCATGCACGTCACAACAGTAATAAACTTACTTTGACTTCATCTTCATCTTCGCCTTCCCATTTGTTAATGTTGGCAATTACCGCAGGTTTTTTTACAGGCTCATCCGCCAATTTTTCTGTGAACACACACACGATAAACAAAAAAATATATATATTAAGATTAGAGAACATTCAACCAAATATTGTCTACATTGTCTGGGTCAGTGTTTTTTTATTTCTCTTACTTCTCAATAGATAGACCTTGATACGAAATAAATGTGCGATCCAAATTTTACGATGACTCAATACAAAAGATAAACTCTTCAAAATATTTATATATTTCAATGCACAGTTGATCACACACGAATTTCATAGCAAATGATACGTCGTCTATTTTTGCCAATTTCAATAATTTGTCATTTCACATTTGGCAAAACTTACCCCAGTCTTCTTCCATTGTAACTTTTATCTAAATATTAATCACAAATTTGATCTAAATTTCAATCCACACAATTCGTGGATCCAACCAATAGTCGATGCAAACGGAAAAAATAAAGAAAAATTATGAAAATGCACTGTACGAATCACGTTGATGTGTTTCTCTCGCACGCTTGAATAATGTGTGTGGCAATTTATTGAAAGCACTTAATGACTTAAGGCAATATGTTGAAAAGAAAAATAGTCAGTCGACTAATGAGACGAAAATGGATGCGTTCAATGTCCTGTCTCTGTTGGCACATTTGAACCGCAATGAAATTCACCAAATTCAGCTTCAATTTTTAAAATGCGTTTAGTTTGCGAAGCGCACTTTTTCAGCGCATATTTTTTTTTTTTTTTGAAGAATTTTATTATTCCATTCAAATTCATTTTTTCATTTGGACATAAAAATAATCGAAGCAAAAAAATAAAAAAAATGTCATTTCGATTTAGCAATGACAGCATTCAAGCATTGTGTTTTGACAAAAGGCAAAACCTAACATAAAAATCAGCATGAAAGGAATTTAGGAAGAGTTTGGTGAAATTGAAACTCGGTTAAAATAGGATAAAGAAAGCAGACGCACACATTTGTGGCATCAATACAAACACACTCATTCCTTTGATATGGCGACTGTATGAAATTTTTTGTGTACACAAACACGAATCTCAATAAACATAGAGTGCAGTTTTGTGTTGTACGCATCAAAGATAAAATGTCATATCATTGAATGGAAGAGAGTGAGTGAGAGAACGAAAAAAAGAAGAGAATATGAACGAATAGTGACATAAATGTCGATGGTTTGCAGAGAAAAACAAAATTATTTTGTGAATAAATTATTATCGAAATGCAAAAATTGCACTATCGACCAGCGTCCGAAGGCAGCGGAAGATCGCCAAAAATATGCAATTCCAGCGTGGATGAATCTGTTTACATAAAAATGATTCGCCAAGAGCGACCATTATGGGATAAAAAACATCGCGACTACAAAAATCTAGAAGTGAAAAACAAAATATGGAAGGAAATTGCAGAAAAATGCGGATCAACCGGTAATGAATGCAATTTATGTATTTGAATTTTATTTTCGTGTCAGTGTTGATGCAAAACAATTTTGCATAATAATAATAATAAAAAAATATAATGCATCCATTTAAAATCCTTGTGTCACTGATGGCATTTTTTTTTTGTATGTTGTTGCAGATTTGGAGTGTAAGCGTCGATGGACGGGATTGCGAGAAAAATATAGACGTGAAAAAATTTTGAATTACAAACAACGGCGCCTAGGTCAAGTGGTTGACTTAACACAAAGATGGCGAAATTACATGAACATGATGTTTTTAGATCAAGTCTACACACCTAGAGGGTATATATACCATGCAATTTAATTGAATTGCATTTGCAAATTGTATCGTGTTTTTACATTATAATAATAATATTATCCGAGTGATTTTATTCGAGTGTTTATTGTTCAGTGTGCTCATTGTGATCAGTGCTTTTGACAATTCGTTTCATTTAGATCAAAGCGGGGAACTTGAATGACTTCCATCGAACAGTGGAACGGTCACCTCTGGAATTGTCGGCCAATACATTTATGCATGCATCAATGTGCTTAGATATTTCTCTTAGTTTGCACAAATGGCTGATGAATCCTGAGGGGGCACCACAATCAAACCATCTTTTTTTCCGGTTCAGATTTATGTCCATTCAAATTGTTTGCTATCCGTTAGATATTTATGTGCAACAATTCTATTTATAGATACTAATTGCAATTGTGTTTTTTTTTTGTTTCATCATTTATTTGTGTGTAGAAATTACCAAAAATCAAATGGTTCAACATCAGTTGAGGAACGCGATGAGAGCATTCCGCCACAAGAAATCAAATTCGAAGACGACGAATCGGATGATGATTGTAATGCAGCCGATTTTCTAGAAACTAGCCTCAATAGTAATAATGCACTCTCAATGCCTGAAACATCGCCGGCAAATTTTGCATCGGCATCATCATCACAATTGGCCCAACTGACCGCACAAAATATAAATGGAAATGGTTCAATATTTTCGAATGTGTCGAATGATCGGCTGGCCAATCCAGACAGTTTTCCGCGCATTTGGGTGAATTCGCTGCCAAATCTTCCGATGCTATCGAATCATCTGAAAGGTGGCGGCGACGAATCGTCATCATCATCACAATCAGATCAAAAAGGTCATCAAAATCAACCCGAACTGAATACAAATCATCACGACTTATTTTCTGTTAACAAAACCGTTAATAAATATAGCTCATTTGGACAGTATATTGCCGATACGCTTCAGGAAATGGACGAGAAGTATGCAAATGAATTGCACGTACACATTCTTGAGGAAATTATCAAAATCAAAAGTAAAATCTTCAAGGAATCGTAACAGAGCCGATGGCGTTTTGAACAGTTGATCAAATCGCTTATGAAATTGTACAAGAGTCGCAAACAGTAGGCTTCTTTTTCTTATTTTTTTTATATTCATAATTATAATATCATTATCATCCATTATTATTATTTTTAATTACTCATCAATAATATAGCATATAATCATATGCAATAGCGTATGGTCTATTTCCTTGATTTTTTTTTCTCTATTCATTTTTATGACATTATCAATATTATAATCATTTTTCTTTATTAATATCAATCTAATTGTTTAGACTCAATGTTTTGTTTTCCATGTGAGACGAGGGACGATCATATATGAATTCATTCTCTTGGTATCAAGAAATTATACATTTAGATCATTATTATCATTATTATTATTATGATTACTCATAAGTATTATGCCATATATTTTGAAGAATTCCATTTGTTTAGGCATTTGTAGTTTAGTCGTTTAGTCACACATTGTATTGAATTTTTAGTTAGTTGCTGACTGACAGAAAAAATGAGATGAAGATAAATAAATAAAAAACCATTATAGTATTATCATTGTATCCGACTACAAACCGATTACAAAGCAGAGATCATTAATTCAGTTTAATAAAATGTAATTTTAGTAATGAAATGCAAAAAAAAAACGCAAAAAATTATATCGCCGACAGTTGTTTTATTTCATTCCCACCAAAAGCTAACAGAGAAACTCTTCGACAATGAACGTACAAAATGCCACCACTTTGGCGGAATGTAAAGCATCTCCCCCTTGTACAGTGTGAATGAGTAAAATTTTACATTGGCAAGAAGTGGAAATCGATCAAAATCCAAATGTTCGGCATCAATTTGTGATGTATTTTTCAGCATATCGCCATCAAATGGATACAAATTGATTGAATCTTTCGGTGGTGCCAATATGATGCGCTTTGAGCCAAAAACCTGACAGAGTAAATTATTTTTTTCATCAATGTGCATGGGTGATGTGGTTCCTTCGGGTCCAAGCCACGCTTTGATATCCACATCAATTTCATTGTCGCTCGTTCTATTTGTAATACAACAATATTCTGGGATGGATACATCGTTCTTTAATGCCGGTATCTGATCGAATAAATTGTGTTGTGCCAAATATTCGATTTTCTTTGATCCGATACTGGTTTCATCATTTTCTAAGAATTGACGACGAAAAAAATCCTCAAATTTTACAAGATCTTGTGACCAATTTTCATTTGTGTAATTTTTTCCGATTTCAATTGGCACCACTCTATTCCGACATACTTCAAGCAAATAACTTGGCTTATTCCATTTCGATAAGGCCGGCCATTGTGACATACAATTCTTTAATATTACCGGTTGACTTTTGTTGAAATGATTCTGCTCAAAATAATGAATTGATGGCCGCTCAATGATTTCTATTTCACAAATGTCATTCATCGGTCGATCATCTTGTTTTGTATCCAACGCTATTGTTGTCTCCGATTCAATACAGTCGTTTTTACATTGCATAAGCGTTAGGCAATCATTTAAAATATCACTATGATCTGGATGACTTAATGGGCAACCCAAAAGAAGACCATTGTCCAATTCCCACATGCTCGCTTCATTCAAATCCATTTTTTTATGCGATCCTTTTATCAACAATAAGACGGCTTTCTGTAGTGATGTCAATGTAAAAATTTGACGATGTAGTTTATTGACTTTGCTAAAGTGACCGGTATTGATTATCTCCCACAAATGATCTTTGATTGATGCCATCATCATCAATGTTTCGTCAAGCGATTTTTCATCCACTTTGCCGGTCGACTTGAATTGATTAACGATTTCAAAAAAATTATTGATTACGATTAATTCAATTGAGCTATCGCCCAACAATGATGCAATTAAATCGAACGGTGGTAAAATCTCAATTATTTTCAATGTCACATCCATTGTGAAATTTAAATTGTTTCAATTTACAAATCGACAAATGAAAAGAACTTATCGAAAATTGTTTATTTAAATATGCTGTCAATTTTCTGTATTTGTTATTGATTTTATAAGTCAATTTATGTCTATGCACTGAGACAAGTGCTGCCACCGTAAGTTATGTGAAAAATCATAAAATAAAGTGTGGTTTTTCACATAATAACCGCTTTTTCTGACTGTTTTCCGCATTTTTGCTCGGACAATGTTAATATGATGTGATAAAAGTGGTACTTTTAATATTTTCCAGTCGATTCATAGACAAAAACAAATGAAATATTTGACCTCATGAATTGTTTCCAATCCAATTGTTGCAATTCAAGTTCAACGATTATTCATTTTTATTATAAAATGCATTCTCGCCATAAAAAAACACAAATAATCATAAATCACAAAATTTTTCATACATTATCTCGAATAAGGAGTTATCACAGGTGTTTTGATAATCTTTCAAATTTTCACAACATCATCAAAATCAAAACAACAAATAAACCGCCAACAAACAACGACAATCAAGATTTTGAAAAGAAATATCTACACATAATTCAAGAATACGTAAAAACATATACTGGCGACTTTAAAAAATATACTTAAAATCGATTTGCAAAAAACCTTTACTTAAATTAGCAATTTTTTTCTCTCGATTTGCTTACAAACGACAACATTAGAATTTGTTTGAATATTCGAATTGAAGGTGAACACACCAAATACGTATATCTTCTGATGTGATTTCGATTTACAAATAAAATGCATTCAAATCGGCAATTATATATTAATAAATGGAAATCCAATAGACTAATATAAAAACAATTACAATAATACTGTGTGGATTGCCTTGCATAGATTTTAAAAAACAGATGTTATTTTGTTCAACCCTGAACACATCCAATACACACTGACAAGTTACCAAAACAGTTGACAGTGAAATAACATTGTATTACATTAGCTCAGTGCTTTCCAGACTTTCTTTTTGTTGTTTTCAACGAAACTCTCATCAAATGGTAGAGAGTTATTGTTTTTTGTCGAATTTCCATTGCAATTGAGTAAAAAATTTGTTCAAATTGAATACAATTTTCTAAAAATAATCCGAATTCAGTGTTTGTATTGTGAAAAAAAAAATGGCCAAAATAATATCTCAGGAAACATTTGATGAGGTTGTCAAAGAGAATGTTGTTGAATTCTCGATGAATGTTCAAGAAGCTAAAGATGAAACCGTCAAGCAATTTGAGGCACAAGGCATTAATTTGGCCAACATCATCAAAAACTTAACAATCAATGAAGAAACCGGAAATCCAGTGCTGAATGAGACCATTGAACAACTAAAAACAATCTCAGCCGGCGGTGATGTTTGTTCAAGCAATTTGCCAAAATTGTTGGACACTTTGGCTTTTGAGTGTAAAGTCAGCGTTCCGCATCGTGTGGTAAGTCAAAAGAAATACACTGTCATTCTGAGATTCGTTTGAAGTAATCAAAGCAAATTTTTTATTAATCATGATTTAGATGGCTGCCAAATTGGGTGCCAACGAAACTGTTTCACATATTATTCATCTGGCGTTGGAAAAGCGAGAAGTAATTGATTCTACGGTAAGAAAACTTCAACTTTTTGGTGCCCATTCAACAAAAGTCAATCATTGATAAATGGAATTAATATTTTTGACATAGGTGATGCAAAGTGCACTTACTGCCTGGAACGAAATTATCAATAAACAACCAGACATTTTCAATGATAAATCGCTTTTTTTGATCATTGACATTTTCAGCAAAAATCTTGGCGATGCATTTACACTATTATGTTTGCAACATTTAAAAAATGCAACACTTTTGCACGAGATTAATCGACAAAACATTATGAACGTTGGAATATTGACGTGCTTAAAACCTCTATTAAAAACCGAAAACCCCGAAGTAAGCTAATAATTTTTAAGAAAAGAGTGAAACCAGTTTGCAATCGACTTTTTTTGTTTCGTTCACATTTTGGAATAGGTATTGAAAGAGACATGTTCACTCTTACGATATTTAATTCTCGATGATGATGTACGGATTGAGTTTAGTAAAGCTCATGAACACGCCAAAACTATTGCAGCCGAGGTTCTGGTTGAACTTACCAAACTATTGCCTAGTAAATTGTTTTGAAATTTCTCTACAAAATTGCTTTGCATTAAAAAAACACACACACACTCTTTTATAATTTTAGTTAAAATGAAAGATACAAATGTGCTGAGTGAATTGTTGCTAACAATTGCAGCACTGACTGTGCGTCATGAATTTTGTGTTCAGGTTGAGGAAGCGGGTGGAGTAAAATTCATCAGGGATTGCATGGTACTTTTGAATATATTTGCATCATTTGCTTACAATTTGTATGGATTTTATCAAATTCCTCTCATTAAATTACAGAAAGAGCATTCTAATTCGATTCGAGTTTCAAAAGAGACACTAAAAGTATTGCGAGCATTAGTTGGAAATGATGCAGTTAAAAATAACATTCTGAAAGATGGTTTGGCAAAAATTATCGATGAGATCATCAATATTCACAAGGTGAGTGACAGTAGTTTCTCTACTTCAGACGTGAAGAATTATATTCGATTTGGTTTTTTCTTAAATTAGGCCAACGAATTATTTGCACGCGCAGCTTTACATTGTCTATCCACAGTGACATTGCGTTCCAAAGAAAATAGCCAACTTCTATTCGAAGCCGGAGCAGCAGAAACCATTGTTGAAACAATGAGACTGCATCCAACAAGTAAACTTGTTCAGGTATTTTAACACATCCATAAATGTTTGCACACAATTCCAATAAATGATTCATTTATAGCGAAATGGTGCGTGGGCAATTAGAAATATGGTGTCACGGTCAAGAGAGCAATGCCCAACATTTCTATCGCATGGAGTTGAAGACATTTTAAAACAAGCAATGGACACCTATCCAGATGTTCAATATGACCTTAAGGCAGCACTACGTGATTTGGGCTGTGATGTTAAATTGAATGAGGAATGGACTGGCATCAAAAATAAAATCCACATCGAAAACTAAACCCAATGAACTAACAGTGTGCTTAGCATATACATTTTTTATACTCACATCGTTTATTTCATATCGCTACAGACTTTAAGTTAAGATTCTTAACACCATACAAATTGTTGCCACCATAAAATTAAATTCACAAAATGTGCGCTTTATTAAAACATTTATTTTCACATTCGTTCGTACATTTTCATAAAAGTTCTTTTCGGTACATTTAACGAAACGTTTTTTAATTTAATTTAATGAAATTTCACGAGATTTTTAAAAAATTTACAATATGTTGTTTACAATAAAAAATTATCTAAAACGATGAATTACATTCCTATGTATTTTTTATTTTATTTTACAAACAAATACAATTAGAAATATTCACACTTAATGTTTGAACAAGAAAAAACAACAAGTGTAAAAAACAAAATATTTTCAATTGAATATAAAATTTAAAAAAAAATAAAATAATAGTTCTATCAATACTTGGCATTACATTGAAAATAAAAAGAGAGTCGAATCATCAAATATTGAGTGCGATAAAAAAAAATCCAATTTCTCTGGGAACCGGCTACTTCCATACTATTTTCAGTCAAATCCAATGATCATTTGTCTGTGATCTGAGAAGCCACAATTACGCAATGACACCGAAAATGAAGTCTCAATATTTGTAAGAACATGATCGATGATGGTCGATGAACGTTCAGCAACCCGTGTAGCATGATTACTGTGAATTTTATTCAATATCTTAAATTCATAATCTGCCACTAAATCACGATATGGTTTGTTTGGTTTTAATAGATCGATGTTCATATCACCGATAACAATCGTTCCCTCTTTGTTCTCAATCTCAACACAACGGCTCAAAAATCCTTCAAAAATGCGATAGAAGGTCTCTGCGTCTACAGCTGGTTGTTTATAAACAACTGCAATGTTTAATTTTAAGCTGTTTATTTTAACAACCAGCAAATTAACATTGCTATTAAATCTGGCATAAGTTTTGCTGCACCGTAAGCTTCTGTGCACGTATAGTGCAACACCGCCATATCCATCGGGACTATTATGGAAAGAAACATTGTAGTTGGGAAGATCATAGTCTCGAATTTCCTTCGAATATAATTTAACCTCTGTTAAAGCGATAAAGTGAATTATTTGCGAACAGCGTGAAATCGCATCCTCAACGTCTTCCATTTTATTCATTAGAGAATTTATGTTGAAGTAAAAAATATTATATCTTTTGTATAAAATATTATTGTTTACTCTATGTTGGACCGGCAAATTGAAATGCCCCGAAATTTGAACCTCAAATATTATCCAAACGAGTAAGGTACAATTAAAAATAAATTGCGGTACAATTAAGTACATTTTTGGTACAATTATTTAAACCTAGTCCCAAGTTTCGAATTTCACATGACCGGACATGGGACTATACATCCTCAAATTTGATGAACGATACACATTTTTTTCTTCATATTTACTCAATTATTACTCACTTGTTTTCTTTTCTAAAAATAATGATCGACCAAGTTATTGTATTGAGAAAACAAGAGGGATATGACATGAGTTTTTGCTATACAAATTCAGAGCAAACTAGAAGAATATTTGTGAAAATACTTCTTTTTATGAAGGGATTAATGGTACATTTTTGTAAATAAAATTGTAATTTAAAAAAATCGAGAGGGATAAGCAAAAAAGTGAAGTATATTTTGTGAAAAGTGTGCTTTTTTCGTTTTTTTTTGCTCTTCACTTTTTGGCCAAAATCCCTAGCAAATTGAAAGAATTCTTCACACCTAAGTGTGTGTACACCTAATCTGAGGACATGCGCTAGATGAATGTACGCAAAACAATTGTTTCGCGTGTTTCGACATAAACGTTATCGACAAATAAAGAAAGTTCTAGAAAGGTCTTGAATATAATGTTAAATAAATATTACGAATGAATAAATAAAACACAGATACACCAAAGAATTCAGTTAATTTTTTCTATTTGAGTTCAATTGCGTTTCTTGGTGGTCTTTCAGAAGCTATTACAAATTGTTATCATGGTTATGTAAAAATTGGAAATCGAATAATTATTAACTTATATGAATTAGGGAATTAGAGGCTTACATAGACTTAATGCGTTAATTCAGAGATATATAAAAATTTGCGCGGAAAAGAACTTCAATTTATTGTGTTTTGAAAAATGGATGTTGATCAAATTTTTGATATTTTATTGAAGAAGTGCGATACGATCGGCATGAATTTTCTCAGCATATAATTTTTCTCTAAATGTTCAAAGGAGTAATGGTGTCTTCGAGATATTTCCTTGTTTTCTTTAACACTTTTTCATATTCAGCTGCATAAGGATTGCTTACTTGAGGATCAAGCACTTTATTTTTATTCTTCTTTTGTATGCTTGCGGCCTTTGTTCTATAATCCGTGAACGCCTCGTGCACTTTAAGGATCTTCAAGTATAGTTTCATGACATCAGAAAATGGTTTTGTTTGGAGCTGTGCGTTTGCAATGTTATTATTAATCGCTTGAAAAATTGGTTCAAGACCACGTATCTGCGCCATCCCTCCCAAAAATTCATTCATATATCCAGTAAATTCGGCAATGTTTGCTGCTTCTCTTTGTTCATTGGTTCTTACAGCTTCACCCAAGCCAATAAGCTGCAATGTTTTAAGCATTAGTGAAAATTGGATCACAAATTATTTTCTTTCAAATAAAAACTTAATTAATTTAAAATATTCGAATTATATCTAAAAGGATGAGAGAAAATTACCGTCAGGGCTATAACACAGAACAAAGCTACGAAAAATTTCATGTTAATTATATTTTTCTTTATCAATTAACAGATTAAACATCAAAGAAGTACTGTTACTTTTTGAATCATTCAATGGCTTTTATATAAACTGCGTTTGAAAAACAAAATTGTACGCATTCTTTCGTAGGCATATACCATCCGACAAAAAATTCATTCAGGATGTTTTTGAAAAAAATATTATCTACAGTTTGAATTAAACGATGTCAATTAGATGAAGGTATTCGTATGAAATGCGCTTAGTGACAGTAGAAAAATAACATTTGAACAAATAAAACAACGAATGCGTGAGGTCATCTGGTTTTTCAAAAAGCGATAACTTTTCATTTAATATTCATTTGCTTATCATCCCTATAATTTACGTCATTTAATTTAAGCCATGGATAATATTTTATCAAAAACATATTGTTTATAAATCGTTTAATTGATGTCTACCAGAATAATGAAACCCATACTGACGAGTTAGATTGTCATCGCACTGGTGGTGGTTGTTTGAAAGTAAGTCAGTTACATTATGATGGACATTGATGGTTTTACGCATTCTTTTTGTACGTACTTTCGATTCTACCATGCAAATTTCGGCCTACTAGATTATGTTTTTCAAACTACAAACACCAATGTCGTGACGATCTAGAGTGGAAATTTTGGCAACAAAAAAAGCGTGTTATTGTTGTTGTCATTTCATTACTCTGATGTCTACGATTAAAAATTCATTGAATTTGTTTTTTGAAGAAATATTATCTTTGGTTTCAATTTTCAATTATTTGTTATTCAAGTCTACATATTTTCAATTCTGTTGTGTTTTGAATCAATGAATGGATCAGTCAGGGGATTATCCAGAAAACAAGAAAAATACTAGAAAAAAGATTGGTGGCGACATTTTCCAACCTGGATTTCTAAGACTGGAAGAAGTTATTTTTGAAGAATTTGATTTGGAAAAAACTCAATTTGCTGGATTTTTGAAACTAAATGCTCATCTGAAAAGATTAGGTAACATTGTTATTTTGAAAAAACTAACTATTCGTAACGGAAATATTTCTCAGTATATTGTGTAATTTTCATTTCAATAAATTGAACTAAAAACTCTTCTTTTATTTTGTCAAAATATCACTGACAAAGTTTCAACTGCTGAGCGCAACTCTACAGGGAGTTATTATGGTGAAAAGTGCCATTTTTCTTTAAAAAGTACTATTTCGATATTTTTCAGTCGATGGTTTTGACATACTTTTCATACAAAAGTCCCCAAAAATTTACATTTTTGTCTGGGAGCCATGGCTGTATGCTATCGTAATGACGTGAAATTTCGCAAAGGTTGTTTTCTGCCAGACATTATATTAAGATATTTTCAGGCATCTGATTCAGCTCATCAGGAAGCTGATGTCAGGCGCTGAAATGAAGTTAAAGCAATAGAAGTGATTGTAGCAATGTAAGCGTCATTTCATAGTTCATTTCAAAAATTGAAATTATCAACAAAATGAAAATTCACAAAAACACAAACTCGATAAAAAAAATGTGTACGGTATAATGTGTAATTATTTCGTCCAAATACGACGAAACGGTCGTTCCAATAACAGCACCGTTGACAATTTGGAACGCAGTGGAATTCGAATTAATATTGTGCAAAATGTCATGACAGTTGACAGCTGAATACGTTCTTTCTCTTCCGGAACACACAAAGGTACGGTGTACAATTCCCTGTTATTCTTACAAAAATAATTCAATTTTATTGGATTAATCCAAAATCATCGGTAAATAAATTGCGTTGAATCGATGATTTTTGAGTGAATTATTCATTCAAAAGATATATTTATTTGATAATTGCAAAGATTTTCACACATTTTTTAAGAATCCAATTGTAACCATTGCTAACATATTCTGTTGTTATTTACAGAGTTGATAAAATGGCCAAGTCAAAGAATCATACCAACCACAACCAAAGTAAGTGTGTACACAAAGATGGCACTATATTGTTGATAATTGATAGTGAAAATGCTTGAAATTGCTTAAAAACTTATAAATTAAACTGTGAATATTATTAAAAAAATTTCAGACCGCAAAGCCCATCGTAATGGCATCAAAAAGCCAAAACCTAAGGTCCACGAATCAACATTGGGTGTAAGTATATTTTCTGCAGTATTTTGAAGTGAAATTCATGTGTTCAGAAGTGAACCTCTCGAATGTTTAGTAATATCGATGCGTGTTTTCTTTCTGCACATTTTCAGATGGATGCCAAATTCGTTCGCAACCAACGTTTCGCACGCAAAGGCAATGTTGGTGTTGTAGAAGCCAGAAAACGTCATGAAGAAAAATTGAAGAGCCGCGCCGGCCGACCAAAATCAATCAAATTGTAAATGGGATTTTGTGTGATTCCAAAACAAATTCCGTTTTTTTCATGATATGAAAATAAAAGTTTCTAACATCAACAACTAAAAACATACATTGTTTCATTCATTTAATTTATATTGTTGAAGCAGAATTTGATTCTACCGTAATTTAAAATTAAGCCGAACTCAAATGATTTGAACAGAATTGGGCGCCAAGATTGTTTTTTGTTCGTAAAAAAATGCTTTCAAAGTGAGTTCTTATAAGCAAACATAGTCGATTACATGCCGCATGACATTTTTACACACAGTTCACTTTCGTGATGTGCCGACAGAGGGCCGAAAGCAATATGTTTCTATTGACATTCGACAAAACATAACCTCTTTACGATTTAATTTGAACGAAATTCTTAATACGGATCGCAAACTAAGTATATTTGTTTCTAATTTGGACTGAAGAAGGTGAAAAAAATGTCAGCCACAGCAATAATATCAAGAACCGCAAGATTAGCAGCAAAAAGATCCGCAGTTTTTGCAGAACGAAAAGCAGCGGTGAACAAAACATTTGTGTTGGGAAGATGTGTGCCGAGTGTAAAACAGAATGCGGCCAAAATTTGTGTTACTCAATTAATTCTAAATGACAAATACAATGCCGTAAGTCAAATATTGCAAACGTTGTTTGTGTTCAAATCACTCTCAAAAATTCATCAGAATTAAAGCATATTTCGGAAATTATTTTCATGTTGGAGTGTTTAACAATGTGATTTTCTTTTGTTCTTGCAGTATTTTGAGGAGAGTGTTTCTGTGTTTGCCTACGATCCGGAAAAGAAAGTCAAAACTGGTGATATTGTTTTGGTTCGTGAAATGCCAGAGAAAAAGACAACACTGATCACTCATTCCATTGAGAAAATTGTGTACAAATTGGGTGATATGACTGATCCGATATCGAATAAATCAGTTGTGGCTGATCAATACCGTGATGTTATCGACGAGAAGAATCGTTTGTATGGAAATGTAGATACCGCCTTTGATTATAAAAAGGCACCACCTCGTGGTCGTTTGGAAGGCACCAGAGATTTAACCGATAAGCCCACATACACAAAATACTATGACGGCTGCAATGATCCATATGCATGGTAGTTACGGTTATTTCGTTAATTAATATTGATTTTAGTGTTCTAATGCATTTTATTTATCATAATAAATGGAAATGAAATCGAGTATGTGGCGTTGTTTTTTTTTGTTTTGTTTTGTCTTTCATTTTATTTTCGATTTAAGGAATTCATTTTATATTCGAATTGGTTCTGTATCGGTGTTTACAAAACGTTCACATTCAAATAAACTTAATAAATAAATTTGACGGATTGATGTATGAACGAAACGATGAATGAATGATTGACTGTTCGCTTGAATTGATGATTACTTTGCTTATGCTATTTGATGGATATTAAACAACCTCATCTGTATTTAAAATATAAACGAAAAGTAAGTTGAATAGCACCATATCCAGTCAATCAAGGCCTAAAAATTCACGTTCGAGTGCCGCTCCCATCATATTCCAATCGCCATCATCTTCATAGTCTTCATTATTCGATGAATCGGCACTATTGTCTCCGTCGCCCATATCCAAATCGGATGGCAAATCACAACCGCGTCGAAATTTATCTACAGGTGATTCGTCATCACTATCGCTATTCTTTGAACTGCCTGACGAATTGCTCTCTTTGTCACATTCAGCCTCTGCGCTCACATTCTGTTCAAACATTTTCCTTCGTTTTATTTCCTCATCTTCTTCTTCGCGTCTTCGTTTCTTAAGATCCTTATTCAATGGTGGGTTTTCTACATTATTTAAAAAAACGTAAAAAATAAAATAAATATAACATACGCTAAGAAATTCCGATGAAAATCTCACCCAAATCAACGGAATCATCGTCACTTGAGTCTGACTCAAAGATTTCGTTCACATCATCATTCATTGCTTCTAAGTCACCTTTCGAGAACATTAAAAATGGATTGATTGTATCGATGAATTTGGGCGCAGCTGACATATTCGATGTCGACTGCTCTGAACTAGAAACATCTGCGTCATTTAAATTACTGTAGTTCACCACGTGTTCTGTGCGATATCAAAAAGGAAATTTAAATTTTTTTTTCCGTCAATTTGTAAGTAGATTTCAATTCGTTTTTACCTGGACTGTGACAATGCGCTGGTGGTTGTCGGGTTTTTGATGCTTTCCGTGAATCTATAGGGAATAGCTTTTCTTCAACGCATTCCCATCGTTCGGCGCACGTCCATAGCCAATCCGGCGAAACAATATGTATTTTGGACATTTTTCGTGCGGCATTCACTTTGAATGTGCCAGCCGTTGAAGCCACCAAATGTGTTGTTTCATCTGTCAATTGTTGTGTTACATTTGCACCCAAACTTCGGGCTATAAGATATGCTTTGCTCTTTTCCAATTTGATTTGTGTTGGTACCAATCCAGAAAATACTAACGTTCTACCCAACAACACTTCGCTTCGTATTTTGGGTAGGAGTGTTTTTAAATCAAGCATCTAAATGGACAACAGTAAAATCATAATGATAAAATTGTGTTTTATGCAAATGTTTTCGTTCATTGTCTACCTGTTTGGTTTCATCGTAATGCGCATAGAATCTTGAATGAATTTTAATTAAAATCGTTTCAAGATAAAGGAGGTAATCGTCGGGATCTTCAACGTCAATCAATGTGTCGTCACCACCACTGTTTTCTTCATTGGTACTAATTTTTGTGCTGTCAACCGAATCGACTTTTTGGTCATTGTTTTCATTGGACTCTGGTTTGGATTTATCTATTAAACTTTCGCTTTCACTGTCATCGATGGATTTTTCCACCGTCTCATCGCTATTGTCGTTTTCAACTTCGGCACATTCTTTTGAAGAAGTTTTTGGTTCATCTGTAGATGAATCGACAGACTTTCTACTTTCTTTTGGTTCATCAGCCTTACTTTTACTACTACTACTACTACTACTACAACTACTACTAGTACTGGCAGCCGGTTCAGTTGAAGATGATGGCGCTTCAGCTGATTCGCTCGACTTTTGAGTATTTGACATCTTAGCTTTTAGGTCTGTAATATGTAAAAACAATATGTGTTGTATTAATCTAAATCGAAAGATACATCGCTTAATCCTCTACTGCGTTAGACCGCCTAGAGACGGATTTTCGGTTCTTTTTTTATATTTTCTCTATTAGCTGTTGTATTTGTATCTCAATTATTTGGATTAGGTGCTAGCACTCACTAATGCTCGCACTTCTGCGCTACCAATAACAGCTATGTTTCTCTCAAATGGATTACGTCAAATTGGCATAGTGAGAACATGTGAATTACACACCTCAAAATTGGCTTTAATTACAAATTTCTCCTTAACCGAAAAATAATGGAGCAGTAAAGGATTAAAGAACAAAAATATTAAACGCATTACCTCCGAAATCAACACCTTTTCCATCAAGTTCATGCTTTGACATACCAGGCGGTGCATTTATGTCGCCCGTATGCTGGAAAAAGTGATAAGGCTTGACTTGAATCAAATTCGTTGCCATATTCCAGACATCTTCACGATCATCAATAATGCAAACCATCGAATCGCCACACGGAAACAGAGCTCTAGAATTCGAATCGATTGCATTATACAATTACATTCAATAACGTTTCGTAAAATTATTTACATTTTCTTTAATGAGTGAATTCAATGGGCTTACCTTAAATTATCGGTTTTGTATGTAACGCTTAGACATTCATCTCGTGATAAAATTCGATGTGAAAAATACTTTCCGTTTTCGTCTAGAAATTGTGCAATTGTATGGGCATAGTTTCGGGCGCCAAATGTGCAAATATGCAATTCAAAATACGGTGCGATTCGTTCGAGAAATTCAAAGGTTCCGGGACGCAAGCGTGTGTGATACCATGGTGTATTTGGTCCATACAATTGAAAATGGTACACACCTTTCATATCAAAAAGAATTTTTTTGTAACGATATTTGGCCACCAATATTTTCTATTTATTACCTTTGAGATTGTTTGGAATTTCATCGTTGGTCGTATGAATAAGCGTTTGATCCAAATCGACCAATAGCACCAATTTTCTGTCTTGTAGCAAACGAGCCGTATCTGCTTTCCCTAGTTCTTGAGCTTGATCGTGTGAAACTTTAAGTTCAGGCACTGAATGGACCATCGGTACCGATGCTTCTGATTGTGTATTATTTTCGTCTTGTCTTAAATCAGCGCCACAATCTGCGCACATATCTTTAATCACGGTGGCATGAATACAGTCGCTCAGCTCCAATAGCGGTTTTCTGTCAAATAAACAGTTTTTGAATATTTCGATGGAATTTTGAAAAAAAAAAAAATGAAATTAAATTGCATAAAAATCTCTTACTCGGCGTCGACAACGTCGCCTTCTTTGTGAAAACGTTTTTTTACAACGCCACATTTGGTCGATTTTAGGCGCTTAATTTCGGTATCATTGCCGCTTGTCAGCTCATACAACAATATCAATTGGTTGTTGTTAACCTGACATCCTTCGCGCACTTTCCACTTAGTTATTTTTATTTGAATGTTTGGTGAAAAAACGGTCGTTTTTTCGGCTTCTGACATGTTTTTATTGACTTTTTCAATGATTTTTGGATTGATTAATTTCGCTATTTTAAGAAAATTACAAAAAAAAAAAATGTTTTCTTTTTTCAAATGTTCACATTTTATCAAAGTTTACACAAACGCGATTTGACGTTTCAGTCAATTTCGGTATGCAATAACATCTGTCGTTTGTACGTATGTTTACGCTGCAATGCAACATTCAACTTACGTATTTAACATACTTAACAAAATGATGCATATAATAGTAAACAAAATTTAAGCTGCTCGGAATTTTGTATGTCGTTCAATCGTTTGATTTAAAATATGCATCACGCATTTTCCATTAAATTTCGATAATTTCATCAAAATTCGCAGTGTTTAACAGAAGAAGAAAAAAACACTTTCAGCAATTTCAATTCATTCCAAATGTACAGACCATTTTAAGTATTTGGCAATTCTGGACGATAGCATCAATTGAATTCAGAAATACGTTATGTAAATGAACGGATAAAAATGTTTTCTACACAAAACAAAATAAAAATAAAAGAATTATGCATTAAAAAAATCATATTGTTTGCCAATTATAAAAATGCATTGAATATAGTTTGATCGCATTAAGTTCCATATGCAAATGTATGTGTGTAACACTAAAAATTTGGCGCTTTGCTTTATATTGTATACGTGAGTGCGAAGCGATTGCGTATTAGATTTTTGACAGCTTACATTCAAACATAAGGGCGTTCGGATTAACGCAAGTCAATGGTGTGTGCAATTGTGTTGGCATTTATTTAGTGCGCGCGCCTATTATTCCTATTCATTTTTCTCTCTCGATTTTTTTGCAGTGAAATTTTAGTGCATTATTAGATATATTTTGAATAATCTAGTGTTTTACTGTAATTAAATGGGCAACTAGTGTTTTTGCTTGATGAAAATATTTCAAGCAATAAATCACGGATTCAAATTAGCTGAAGCAAAAAAACTAAATAGAGTTGCCGATGTTATGCACTATTTGATTGCCATTGTGAGAGAAAAGAGGCACAAATGGAAATAAGTCGTGAAAGCCTTGGAGAACGATCGCCTGATTTATTCTCCGATGAAGATGATTTAGAAACAGACACCAATACAAACCAACGTTCTATCGATGATATAAACGATAGCCTTTTGTCAAATAAAGATGACGAAAAAGAGAATAATTTCGATAATTCTATTGAAAAGACCGAAAAAACGATCAGCAAACGAATAACAAATTTACTATCAGGTGTTATACCACCGCCGTCGGTCACTTATGTTCAATATGATATTGGCAATTTGCTATCCATGTACAAAAGAAATTTTGCGCTTATGGATTCAGACAATGACAACAAAACGGACGGCACCAAGCAATCAGACATTTGTGATCAAATTTTCACGAGGCCACTCAATCCTGAAGCGATTGAAAATATAAAATGGCCCGAAATTGAAATGGTTAATGCATATGGTGTGCATTATAATCGTACAAGGTATACGGAAAACATTGAATCGATGTACATGAAATTGGTTGAAAGGAATGTTGGCCAAGAAACTGGAACCTCATTTACATTTAATGCATCGATGAGTGCTAAAAAGAAACAAATACGAAAAATGTAAGTTTTAAATTTGTTGTGGCAACACAATTTGGTTCGACAAACGGAAAAAGTTAAAAACGAAATTATTCTTTTATTTTGAATAGAATGGCATCGCCCGGGAACCGGTTGAGCCATTTGGCGCGGAGGCGGGCCATTTTCTCTTCAGCCAATTTATTATCTCAATCAAATCTGTCAAATGTATCAAAATTAGGAACAAAACCATGTATAATTGATACTTCGTAAGTGAACAATTCTTTTTAAATGTATCTAACCACAGTTTTTTTTTATCTGTATCTTGCTGTTTTGTTCTTTATCGACCACAACTTTATTTTTTGATTAATTTCATGAATAATTTTCTCGTCAATGCAGAAAATTAAGCAGAAAAGAAAAAGTCACAACACCAAAACGACGTGCATTAGGAAATCGACGAACTCCAGGTATTATATTCAATGGATTCTTATGTTAAAATGAGTTTCTAATGATATGTCTATGAAATACAAAATGTATAGGTCGTAAAACGCCAGGTTCGTTAAAAAAGAGTGCAAGCAAAATTGTGCCGGTTGTGCCGAAATTTGGTACGGCCACCCGTGAAACATCGAAACGTGCGTTATTTTTGAGTCCAACTCAAGAGGAGGTTAAAAATCCAGTGCCAGTTTCGATATCCTCCGACTTATCACGACGCATTGAAAAGTCAAAGCGAGCGTTATTTTCACCGAATCGTCCACGATTGGAACGATCAATATCAAATGTCAGTAGTTCAAGTTGTTCAAATTCGGCATTCAATATGTTAAACGATTCCAACAAAAAGTCAAATAACCATCCCGATCGGTTCAGTTTTAATCGAACAAGTAGTGATGTATCGATTTGTTCGAAACGAAGACTCGAACCAGACGATGAGAATATGGAACCGCATCGCAGTAAATTTCAACGTACTGAACATCTAAAAAGCAGCTTTATACAAAAATGGAATTCGGATAATACGATGTACCAAAATAATCAATTATCAGCTAGCCACAAGCAGAAATTGTTATGGGCCGTATCAACGGCGCTTAAGAAAAAATCAATAACCTCTGCTCACAGTAATTTCAATCAGTACGGTTCGATTTTGGGAAAAGTGGTAAAAAGACTGTATTTGGAATCGTTACCAACAAAAACCGAAAGCACAAGCGGAACTATGCTTCGGTAAGTGTTTATTATTTAATATTTAAAAACGAAAACTAAGTGAAACTATCTTTATTCACAAAAAAAAATTAGGCTGGCGGATCGTTTGGTATTTTTCGTACTTCAAGGCAAAACGGTGGACGAAATTTATTTGGAAGAGAAAGCGCGAATGGATACAACGAAAACAAATGCGGCCAAAAGATTAAGCGGTTATATCAATCGTGATGAGTATTTGATGCGGCTCGATGCATCGAATAAACTGAATTCAAGCACACAATCGATAACCGGTGGTGACCTATTGACGACATCTAATGAAAATGACAATAGCCGTAAACCACTAACAAATAGTTCGTCAAAATGTAATGTTGGCACAAGTGCATTACGTGAAAATCACGATTCAAAATCGGCACAAAAACAAACGTCGAATGTTAGCTTCTCCGGCCGCAATCAGAAAAATCTCAGCCCATACAATGATAAATCGCGATCGATCACCAATTTGAATAAGTCAAACAAATTGATACCCGCTACAAATTCGAACATCTTAAAAGTTAAACGACAAATATCTTTTGATAACTGACAACAACTTATAAGTTCAGTGGAACTCAATTGTTAATATTTAAAAGGGAAGCAACAACAGAGAAGAAAAAACAAGAATTGTTTTAGTCATTTCTAATAGATTGTGTATTGAAATAATAATAATAATAATAATAATAAGATTAGTGACATTTTTCATTGGTAAGCAACAGTTTTGAACGTTGCATTGCGACTGGTAATTTTAAAGAGAAACGAAAAGGAAAAGAAACAAAAGAGTAGAATGAAATCGACACAAAAATAGGTTTGGCATTATCAATATTTATGGTTTCGTTCGGCAGCTCGATTCCATTCTCATTTCGCTTTTTTTTTGTGAATACATTGTCAATGTGAACTTTTTAAATGAAACAAAAATACTGGATAAAATACATTATAAATTAAATAAATTATTGAACAAGTCATTAAACGAATGGTTACATTTTTTTCACTTAACAACGCTTGTTTACCAACGTTGAGCATATGAACGTCTTAAGCGTATGTGTATTGACACGCTTTTCGCTGTTTAGTCCAACAAACACATGCGGACCATTTGTTTTCACCAACAATGTACATACACACTTCATGTCCACATACATGCACAGGCGCACCCATACGAGCAATACACACTGAAACGCTTTCTTTCTATCGTTACGTACATACTTTATGTTTGCAGTTGTTGTTTTTAGTTGACTGTATGATAGAATTTAACTGTACTGAATTGTATTCTCATTGCAGTATTCAACATACATGGTCGATTATTTGTTGATGTTGTTCATTAGTTTCAATTAATTTGTAGTGTAGTAACGATATCCCTTCGATAAAAATAAAAATACGTAATAACATATGCAAGAAAAATGTCGACAGTTCAAATTGAATTCCATTTTGCTTCAATATTTTGACACTGAACATTGTTCGATTGACATCTTTGTTTACAAAATTGAACAATTCGTTCGGATTTAAAATTTAAGAAATATTTTCATTTTTCAACAAGACTGACTGATTGATTGAAGCAGAAAGTTAGACGGCCAATACATTTTAAGGGCAAAACTGATTCGCATCTTGTCGTTTAAATTCAAGTGCAGTGGTTTTTGATTGATAAACACATCACAAATGACTGAATTTTGTTGCTGCAGATAATTGTGTGTATCATTTGGTCATCATGCATGATTTAATCTATGCTTCGACCTAATTAAAAAAAGTGGTTTACAATAAATTATAAGAAACCGATTTTTGCACGCCGGATTGCAGGCAATTTACCATTTTCTCTTATTCGCTTGATGTAAGTATAGTTTTGAATGCACCACCATTTCCGTTCAAATCAATTCTGATGATGTATACACAAGTTATAAACTTTTCGTGTATTTCTAAAATGAAATTTGTATAATTAAGTATCATGAACTTGCGACTTTAAACATATGAACGATAAACAGAGCTCACATTCTATTGTTTCATTTTGATATCGTGATTTTTTATCATTTCAGTTGCGCGTTGTATCGAATAGCTTTTTATCATATTCTCTCCGAATGGCAGAATAAAAAACAAAGTGCCCATAAATACGACCGACAGAATTTGGTCGGTTTAGACTTTAGTCTCGTTTGTTTGGGATTCGTTGACAAAGAAGTGTATTTTTCAACAAACCATTTATAATACACGATATATGGTTCATTAGAATTCCAATTCAATGACATTGATAAGATTACGGACATTTCATGTAATTCAATCGTAATTATTATTATTATTTTTTAATTTGATTTCTAATACAATCACTATCTTGTCGAGATGCGAATTCAAAGGGAAATACAATAGATTGAAAAGGCAACCGAGACAAACTTTGTTTATTATTGCCTATGTTTAGATATTTTATTCATTATAAATGGCAAAACACACATAAATCAACACGAACATTGTGAACGCACTCAGTGTTTGAACGTATCCATTTTTCTTTATAATGTTTATACATCGTTGTGAGTTGTCATTAATGACAGCTGTTCGCCATTTTTTTTTCTATCTATCTCTGATTGAATATTTTGGAAGGAACAATACAATCATAAACGTTCACATTGTTTACGAGCTACGACGTATATCATTCAATACTCAATTGAAATTTGTTCGTAATTTGTCAAATTTAATGGTTTAACTTAACGTTTTAAGTGATTAAATTGGTGGAAGATTCGGTGGCGAGTTAAATAAAAATAAAAATCATGTCGCTTTCGTCGACGCCTCGTGTGCCTGTATCGCAATTGTTGAGCGATGCAGCCAACAACGAAGAAGAGCCAAAGAAAAAGTCCAGAGAAGATTGGCGTAAAGCAAAAGAATTAGAAGAAGCCCGTAAAGCTGGTACAGCACCAGCTGCTGTTGATGAAGAGGGTCGAGATATTAATCCACACATTCCGCAATATATTTCAAATGCACCATGGTATTACAATGCAAGTGGTCCAACATTGAAACATCAACGGCCACAAGATGAGAAGGAAACGGGTGTGTCTGGCATTAATGATTGGTATCATCGTGGTGTGAATACAAGTAAAGTCATAACGAAATTTCGAAAAGGAGCGTGTGACAATTGCGGTGCCATGACGCACAAGAAAAAAGATTGCTTTGAACGACCGCGTAAAATTGGTGCTAAATACACTGGCAACGTTGTTGCTCACGATGAATTCGTTCAACCAAATATCGTAACCGATTATGATGGCAAACGTGACCGATGGAGTGGCTATGATCCGGCAGCACATCGTGAAATTATCGAAGAATATCAGAAAGTTGAAGAAGCTAAACAAAAATTAAAAGCCGAAAAACTTAAGGATCCAACCAATTCAGAATCGGGCGGCATCGATGACGATGATGATGATGATGAGGAAGAAGATGGTGATAAATATGCGGACGGAGCTGATATGCCGGGTACGAAAGTCGATTCAAAACAACGAATTACAGTGAGAAATCTTCGTATTCGTGAAGATACCGCTAAATATTTGCGCAATTTAGATCCAAATTCAGCGTACTACGATCCAAAAACAAGATCAATGCGTGATAATCCAAATCCACAAAAAGACGCAAATGAACTTGAATTTGCTGGCGAGAATTTTGTTCGATACAGCGGTGATACAAATAAACATGCGACAGCACAATTATTTGCATGGGAAGCACATGGTAAAGGTGTTGATGTTCATTTACTTGCCGAACCGACAAAATTGGAGATGCTTCAACAAGAATACGATAAAAAGAAAGAAGAATTTAAGTCCAAGACGAAGGATACGGTTCTCGGTCGATACGGTGGCGAAGAGCATTTACAAGCACCACCAAAATCATTGTTGCTCGCTCAAACTGAAGAATACGTTGAATATTCACGAACAGGCAAAGTGCTAAAGGGTCAAGAGAAACAGGCAAATCGTAGCCGATATGAAGAAGATGTTTATTTAAATAATCATACGAGCGTTTTTGGTTCTTATTGGCGTGATTTTGCATGGGGATACAAGTGTTGTCATTCATTTGTTAAAAATTCATATTGCGTGGGTGAAAATGGAAAACAAACATCAACAGTTGCAATGCCATCAACTTCATATGATCACTTTGAACGAAGATCGGCCGATGAATCTGATAATGAACACGAAGATGAAGAACAGTCGAAGCGACGAGACGATGACAGTGACTCATCGCAATCAGATGAAAGTATCGAAGAACAAAGATCGAAAAAGAAAAAGAAGAAAAACAAAAAGAAGAAGAAGAAGAAGTCAAGAAATAAGGACAAAGAAAAAACCGATTTGGAAAAGGCTTTAGAAGCTGAAGAGAAAAATAATGCAATGGCCACCCATTTATTGGAAATGGATGAACGTAAACGACCATTTAATAGCATGTACGAAGTGAAAAAACCAACCGACGAAGAAGTCGAAGCCTATCTAATGAAGCGACGGCGAGATGAAGATCCGATGGCAGCCTTTATGGATAAATAAATACGCTTGTTTTTAGTCTTATTTTCAAAAATTCAATCAATTGTAATTACAAACGGACAGAATTACAAAAAATAATAAAACTGATCAATCTAATTTCATGTGGCCTTCTTCATTTTTTTTTTTACATCCAATAAATAAAAACCAAACAAATATATTTTCTGGAATAAAATCTTATTGCATTTTTTTTTGTAGACCCAGTGGCAATGTTTAATTAATTTCGAATTGTTGTGACAAAAAAAAAAATGGAGGGCAGTAATTCCGAAAACATTCCAAGTACAAAGGCTGCAATTCAGCCCACTGAACCGATTGTACAAAATAATGACGAGGATCAAGAGCAGCCATCTGTATCACGACCGACGATAAATCAAACAACAGTTGAACGAGTGCAATCAAGAAATACGTATTTTCTTGAATTGCCAGTGTTGCTATTGTTTTATTCATGGAATTTATCCGGAACAGTTTTTCAAAATCAAGTAATTTACCAAAGCTGTATATTGAACTACAATGAATCGACTTGTAAATTGCTTGCAAACGAAGAGATACCGGATGCACTTGTGGTAAATTGATTGGTCTGAATGAAATCTCAACTTCACATATAAAAATGTTCCTTTTTTCCATTTCAAATAAAGACTATCGAAGTAGAACTCGAAGAGTATGCATCGAAGATATTTATGGCTCGTGCTATCTTAGAAAGTATTATTCCTGCGTTTATAAGCTTTCTGATTGGACCATGGTCAGATAAATTTGGACGAAAACCAATTCTATTGAGTACATTTTTCGGTAAGTAGACAGACATGCGAACTTTTTCAAAATTAAAATAATGAATTGTTTTGACATTTCTTTTTCAGGATATTTTCTGGCCTATGCACTGCTGTGTTCAATATCCGTAGCATCATCATATTGCCTAATTAGTCCGTGGTTTTATTTGTTTGCGTTTATTCCACTTTCGTTACTTGGTGGTACGTGTGCATTAATTACGGGCATTTTTTGTTACATAAGCGATGTTTCGTTTGAACGAGATCGTGGTTTTAGGTGCGTATATGTTATTTTAAAAAAGCCAAATTAGTTTTTTTGATTTGTGTGATAATGCCATTCATTGTTATTTAACAGAATGGCACGAATGGAAGCGGCTGTTTTCGTAGGACTGCTTCTGGGTTCCTTGAGCAGTGGACGATTGTATAAATTAACTTCGGCGTCTGTTGTTTTTGGATGCGCAGCGCTGTGTACATTGCTTGGTTTAATTTGTGTGTATTTCTTTGTCAAAGAAAGTATTAAAAATCAAACAGAGGAGACTGGACGCATGGTAATTTATATCCATACAATTTAGAGAAAGAATGCACGCCTAAAATCATGTTTTTTTTATATATACTTGAAGGCTAAATTTAAAGCACTCTTCGAATGGAAACATGTGGTGGACTTGTTTTATACTTGCTTCAAGCGACGTGAAAATAATGATCGAGGTCTTATTTGGCTCATTATCCTAGCGTTGGCATCGTCCATGTTTGTTTTAGGTAACCAAATAGAAAAAAAAATGAAAAAAATTAAGCGTGATTTTAATTTATAATTAATTTTGTATTTATTACAGAGGGATCGGTAGCATTGAGTTATCTATTTATGCGTGAAAAATTTAAATGGATGATCACAGACTATAATTTATATTCAGCATTCAATGTGATTTGTCAAGTATTTGGAAATATTTTCGGAACTTATGTATTAAATAAAATGTTCGGAATACCCGAGATATTGATGGCGATTTTCGGATACTTTAGTGCAATGTTAGAATACATCGTTACCGGTCTCGCCACCTATTCATGGCAATTGTATGTTGGTAAGTTACATTCATTCGATTTTCATTGCGCCAATCAAATAAGAAAAAAAAGCCAAATTATGACCATTTCTCAATTTTAGCTTCGATTGTGGTGATGCTGAAAGGTGTGGCGGTGCCGATGTGTCGCGCATATTTGGCATGTTTGGTGCCATCATGTGAAATTGGTAAAATCTATTCAATGACAACTTCAATGGAATCATTGGCACCAATTGGTGCAGCTCCAATTTATACATTCATATACAATTACACCATCGACACATATCCGGGCGCATTCAATTTCTTCAGTGCTCTTGTATATCTTTATTGCATCATATTGATAACGTGAGTAAATAATATAAAATAAAATGCAAACACAATAGAATTAATGATTATTTCTTTGCAGTACGGTCTTTGTGATTCGAAGAAGGCAAGAAGCCACCAGTTATGAACGAATTATAAGCTGATAAACGATATTAATCAATTAAAAATAGCTCAATGATGATACGAATTCGTGTCGCGAATTGTAAATTTAACTTAAATTTATTAGATCTACTTATTTCTACGTGCAAAGTACCTTTCTCATATTATTGTAAATGGTAATTCATGAAACGTATATTTTTTCCACCTGAAATCAAAAATCTATCACAAATAAAATTAAATTAAAATAAAACGATTTCAAATATTAAGATTTAACAATTTTTTATTCAATTTTTTTCTCGAAAAATAGGATAATTTTTCCAGTTGTTTATATCGTTCTGTTATCACTGCTTTCAAATGTTCTTGCTTATTTCAAATTGAGTTGAATATAGCTTTATTCAAACTATAATTTAATCTTTGTAACTAAAACACACACGCACAAATATATAACCATAAATGTATATGTATAAGTGTGTATGTGTTTGTCTAATTTTGTAGGGTCATATATGAGAACCTATATGTATAATATTTATATGTATTTGTGTGTATTTATATGATTTCTAATGTCAAATAATAATAGCTTAGAAAAATAGTAAACAATATATCAAATTTACGATCTGACTAAAAAACGAACTAAATGTGATTACTTTCATGTAAATACGGGGCGTAATTGTGAATCGTCAATGAACAAAGAATGAATATACGACAATAGAAAACGTATTCTTATTATTATTTTTTAATAAATAAATGTTTAATTCAAAAGATATGGTAGTAAAAATAATTGAAAATAATCCAAATTTACGGGATTCGATTCAGCCACGTGATTTCACAGAAGCAAATATCGATGAAGACGAAGAAGAAGTTCAAGAGTCAACTGAAACACAAAGCACAATAAATTTAGCAACGGTTGAAGCAGTTCAATCAATAAATACATATCCGCTCGAATTGTCGTTTTTGTTGTTTTTTTTCTCGGCAAATTTGAACGGAACAGTATTTCAAAATGAAATTGTTTATCAAAGTTGTAAGCTTGACCACAGTGAATCGACTTGTAAATTACTTACCAATGAGATGATACCAAACGAGCTTGTGGTAATTAATCCAAAAATTCAATCGATTCCAATTCGATTAATATATACTAAATGTATCTAATTGATGTTCTCATAAAAAAAAGGATTTAGAATTGGAAGTGGAAAAATATGCATCGAAAATATTTATGTGCCAAAATATTTTAATAAATATCATTCCTGCGATTATAAGTTTTTTTATTGTACCATGGTCGGATAAATACGGTCGGAAACCTCTTTTAATGAGCTCCTTTGCTGGTATGTATTATGTACATTGTACACATTTTTCAAACCATAAAGTATAATAATGAAAGTAAAATGTGTTGACTAGGATTTTCTCTCAGCTATGGCCTCTTATGTGTGATATCAATTGCTGCATCTCATTTTAAGTTAAATCCATGGTTCTATTTATTGGGATTTATTCCATACTCACTATTTGGTGGTGTGGTTGTATTTATTACGGGAGTTTATTCTTACAGCACTGATACTTCATCAGTTCAAGATCGTGGTCTTAGGTTTGAATGCATTTTTTTTTCTTTTTCAAATCAAAATAATGTTTACACAATTCATTTTTTTATTTCTCTTATAGACTGGCGAGATTAGAAGCAGCCGCCCTTTTTGGATTGATTATCGGTTCTTTAACCTGTAAACCAATATACCAATATGCATCAGCCTCTATTGCGTTTGGATTCTGTGCTGGTAGTTCATTTCTTGGTTTAATGTGTGTTTATTTCTTCATTAATGAAAGCATTAAAAATGAAACCGAGGAACGTGGATTTATGGTAAGCAAATGCGGTTATATTTTATATGGGATTTCGCAACTTCAATTTCAAAGCTAAACTATTTTCTTCTTGAAATCAAGGCAAAACTGAGAGCTCTTTTTGAATGGAAACATGTGGTAGATTTACTCGATACATGTTTTAAGCGACGGGAACATAACGGTCGAATTCTTATTTGGCTCGTAATATTTACATTAATTTTGCGTAATTTTGCTATGAGTAAATGCAATGAAGTGATCATCATGAATTCTTTTGCTCTTTAAAACTTAATCATTTGGATTTTTTGAATTCTTTTAGACGGTGCTGAATCAGTCAACTTTTTATTTATGCGAGACCGATTCAAATGGATGATAACGGATTATGCAATCTATTCATCTTTTAATATGGTTTGTCAAGTATTCGGAAATCTTATTGGATCATATGTATTAAACAAGATGTTTGGACTGCCCGAAATTTTGGTGATACTTATTAGCTTTTATTGTCTGATGGCAGATTATGTTATGATCGGTTTGGCCGATCATTCGAGTCAATTATATATAAGTAAGTGAATTTAGATTAAATAAAATCAAATCTCTCAATGAAATTGGTTTTATTGCAGTTGCGATGATGATGGCGCTCAAGGTTGTAGCATTACCAATGAGTCGAGCATATTTGGCTTCTTTAGTACCATCGTCTGAAATCGGAAAAGTATTTTCTGCATCTACATCATTCAGTGCTTTGGTTTTGACATTTGCAGCACCCGTTTACACATTTATCTATAATTTGACAATTGATACATATCCAGGGGCATTCAATTCATTTAGTGCCGTTATACTTCTCATGTGTATCCTTCTGATGACGTAAGCTCATTCTATCAATTTATATTTTTCATTTGGACATTATATTGAACGAGCTATAATTTGTTTCTATACATTTGCAGAATTGCATTTTTGATTCGAAGTAAGCGACAAGAAGCAGCCAACTACGAAATTATTACGAGCTGATGAATGACAATATTGAATTTATTGAAGATATGCAGTGTATATTTTTATTGTCCAAAAATTAACGTTGAATTAAATGAAACTTTGACAATTTTAAATACAAAATCTACAAATTAAACAAAAACACATCGTGCCTAAAAAATTCCATAGCCAAGTATCAATTGTTTTAAAGCCGTTCATTTCCAATTGATGCAATTCCCTCCAAGTCTGGATTATTCGTAATAATGTTTGTCACATTCAAAATGTGCCCGTCTGCATTCGGCTGAAGAATGTCTACCGTGTCTCATGTTCACCAATTTTGCGATCTTTTACAAAAGCATTTAATAAATTCATTTGATACAAATTTCGAGTTAGTGGTTTTTGTCATAACACTTTTGTCATAAATAACCATGGACATATTATGTCAACGACGCTGCGCCCAGACGCTGCATAAAACAGAATATGTAATGCCGGTCCAGTCCTTATTCTTTCGATTATTTTTCATTATCTGGTTCACCCTACGTTCCTGTTAATTGGATCTATTAAATCGACTTGTAGCTCAATTAAATTCAACTCAACGATTCACCCCTCGACAAAAACAATAATTAAAAAGTATTTTTCCATAGATAACTGATTAGGATATTTAAAGGCATGGGCGCTCGCACAAATCGCGCACTAAGTTTGGAACAAAAAATGTCATGCATTTACTGCCCGGTTTATTTACAAGATAAAAAAAATGAAAACCGAACGAATTAAATGTGTAAGTGGGATGCAATATTTAAGTTACGATGCCGACAAAGTGTTCGACACAACGTTTGGAATCAGCATATTAGTTAGTTTTGGAAAAAAATGTGCACTAATTTAAACAAAAATTATTTTGGTTCTTTTTCTTTGTCAAAATTGATAATCTTACATTAAATTGCGTTCATAAATGAAATCTCATTGTTGTAAACACACATAGTAATTTCGAATATAAGTCGACAAAATACCACAGTTTTACGAGAGAAGAGAAGAGAAGAGAAGAGAAGATTTATATACATCCAATTTTCTGCTCATTTTTTCGATCCTTTTTTTTTATAAATACAATCATGAAAAGAACGTCAGTTGGAATGGCCAACATTATTTATGTAGCATGCGGACTTCAAACAAATGTGTATTTAATACAAATAAATTGATATTAAGAAAAAGAATGAGATACAATCAAATATATCTAATAAAAAAGTTTCAAATGTTTATTTTCGTTTTCGTAAATCTCGTCATCAAAGTTTAAAATTATTTGACTGAGTTTTTATTTATTTATTTTTTTGAATTTTTGATGTTGCGTGAAATCAATAGTTCATAATTGATTATATTCTTGGTGACTTTTTTGGGCTGAACAAAGCTAAAAATAAACATGATTATAAGCATCATTTTTAATAAGAAATAAAGGCTTTACCTTTTAACATTTTGAATATCACTTTGTTCTTGCTTTTTTGGTTGCACTGGATTAATTTTTGGAATTTTGAGAAATTTTCGTACTTTTTCAATTCTAAATATCGGTGCCTGAAATAAAAAAATTGGGTATTTTAATGCTTGTGTCGCATTTTGTTGATATATTTGACTATCACCTGTATTAGGGACCAAAAATTGCTGGTTGTCCAGTAGATAACAATAGCAGCTGGGAAATTCATAATAAACGGAAAAATTATTACCGGTAAAGCTTTTATAACATAATTAATCAATTTATTTGGGTGACTGGATCGTGCTCCATCGGTGCCCGTGTAAATGGTCAATGCAATTGTGCCGCATGAAATTAATGGTAAAATATAATAGGGATCAGCAACAGTTAGATCTGTAAACCAAAATATGCCCCCGGTTTGCAAGGACAGAACCGGTGCATCGACCATTGCGTTGATACCAAAGTAGTACGATATGAATATTGGTGCTTGAGCTAAAGGCACGAGCATATTTTTGATTGGATTATAACGCTTATCCTTCATGATATTCTTTAATTCCTCATTGTATTGGGCAAATTCAAGAGTATTACCTGCTTTACCTAGGGGACAATAATGGAAACTTATAATGGAAATGAAATTATAGTTTGAATGACCCGCTTTACCCGCTCGAACCATTTTACTTTGAATGTCATTCACTTGCGGCAAAACATTACACATTACAGCCGTATTTCGTTGGGCTAAGACAGCCAATGGCGTGATTAGAATACGAATTATGACTGTACTAATTGCAATTGTAGCAAACCATGGCAAATCATACGATACATGTAAAAATTCCAATCCATTTTGTAGAATACCAACGGGCGTGTATCCACCTAAGCCAAGTTCAACGAATGACGGTTCGCTATTTGTTGTTAAAGTTGCTGTCGTACTCTCTGTAGCCATAACAGCAGCAGCAGCCAATATGCTGGGTGTGTGGTTTATATTCCGTCGGAATTCATAACGATGATCGAATCTGTAATAAAAATTAACAACTTATCAACTCTATCCTATCTGGCATTTCATTTAAAAACCACTTTTTTACAAATTATATTTGTTGAAGAATGAAGCATTAGATATGACATGATAATTCCTGCAGCGCATACTATTTACCTAAATATAAATAAAAATTGAATTAATTCGAATATTTACAACGGGGATTTTATATTCAGAAGTTGAAGAATTTATATATTCACCGCATTGAATCGGCTGCAAAACAACCTACTGCCAGAAATACAACAGCACCTAGTTATCATTTTCTCTGGCTCGTAATTTATATATTTTTTTAAATACAATTCAACTTAGATTAGATTTGCGGTTATGTCAAATATTAAATGTCAGTGTCAGTGTGGTGAATATGTGTATTGTGTATATTCAAATCATTAAATGTGATTCTTCATGTATGGAGAATATTCCTAGAAAAATGTTCGAATACAGTATGTTTTATATATGTACGAATCAATAAGTAATCGAACAGAATGGAAAATGAATTGAAGGAATGGATCAGGAATTGTAGAGCAATGGAATAGTCATTTTTAAGTGATTATGCCTTGGGTTATACTATAGATGTGCCAAATCCGATATGTTAATACATTTTGTATTATGATAATATTTTATTAGGATTCTATTAACTATTAACAACCAATCATACTACGCATGATAACATGAGTAGTAGTATTAAGATCGATGTTACGAGGGTTGCTCCATAATTTTTTTTAAAAACATATATAACACAGTTGTTTTTTGTCGAAAATGGTTTTATTGTTTTTCAAAATATTCCCCGAGATGATCGATACACTTTTGCATTCGATGAAACCATTTGTCATAGCATTCGTGCCACTCCGAAACTGATATCTCCAAAACGTGTGTTTTGAACGCTTCAACTGCTTCTTCTGGTGTCGAAAATCGTTGACTACGTAGTTTTTTCTTCACGCTTGGGAACAAAAAAAAGTCATTGGGTGCCAGGTCAGGACTGTACGGTGGATGACCCATCAGTTCGATGTTTTGACCGGTCAAAAATCGAGTAGTTTGAAAAGATGTGTGAGAGCTCGCATTATCGTGATGAAGAATTATTTTGCGACGGTGGTTGTTTTTTCTTATTTCACCAAACACTTCGGGCAAACAAATGGTGGTATACCAATCAGAATTGACGGTCTTACGATCCTCTAGTGGAACGGTTGCCACATGACCACTTCTCCCGAAAAAACAGGCGACCATTCGCTTCGAAGTGCTTCTTGCTCGAACAACTTTCGTTGGGTTATCTTCATTTTGGAAGACCCATACAGTCGACTGCTGTTTCGTTTCGGGCTCATAGGCATATATCCACGATTCGTCACCAGTGACGATTTTATTAACGTCTTTTGAAGCACCACGATTGAATTTCTTGAGCATTTCTTTACACCAACTCACACGAGCCATTTTTTGTTCATCGGTCAATTTATGTGGGATCCAACGAGAGCAAATCTTTTTTACGGCTAAATGTTCATGCAAAATTGTATGTATGCTGTGGGATGAAATGCCCAAAGATGCCTCAATCTCACGGTAGGTCACATGACGATCTTCCATAATCAGTTTTCTGACAGCATCGATGTTTTGTGGCACAACAGCCGATTTTGGACGACCTGTATGAAACTCGTCTTTGAGCGAACTACGACCGCAATGGAATTCTCGGTACCAGTTATAAATTGTCTGAAGGGTTGGTGCTTCATTGCCAAAGGCCAAATGAAGTCGATCGAAACACTGTTGTTGAGATAATTTACTTCGAAAATCGTAGTAAATCATTTTACGAAAATCTTCACGTGTAAAATTCATTTTTTTGTTGAGTCGCAGTTTACCAGTCACTGTAAACAATACAAATAGCGTTCGTACGACAAAAGGTTCAGGGCACGAATACATACCAAAACATCAAACTTTACGAATATGACAATGGTTTACATCGGGCAACACTATAAGTACCATTTTAAAAAAAATTATGGAGCAACCTACGTAATAGCGAGTAGTAGTATGTTTATTATCTATTAAGATGCCGAAGTTAATACGCGCCGCAAAATACAAGTGTGCATTGTGTGTTAGTAGAATGTCGATTGTAAACAAGTGTGAATGCAAGGGTGAGCGAGACAGCATAAAAAAAAGATTTGCCAAGCACGATTTGGGGGACAGAGATGACAAATCTTTACGTTCTGTTCACAACACATGATATAGACGACTTAGCTGTGTTCGAGAATTGAGAAAAAAAAATGTTTTTTTTCTTCACTTTTTGTGCTCTATACCGAGTCTCCGATAGTTTCATATAAATTTGCCATGTAGATGATGAAAAATTGCGAAAAATGAAAAAAATAATTAATTTTTTTTTTCTTTGATTTACAAATACTATCACATTTTCTGTATCATCTGGTGAAATCAGAATG